GTGGTATAATGCAGCCACCGCTGCTAAGAGATCTGATGGTACTCCAATGGTTTGCAATCTTTGCCATAAAAGCTCACGAGGTACTGTGTCAAAAGCTTTCTTGAAATCAATGAAGGCACAAAACAAAGCTTTTCCATTACCCTTGGATTTCTCCCATAGAACACGTAAAACCAAGATATGGTCTATAGTGTTGAATGTAGGACAAAAATCAGCTTGGAATCGCGCTCTCTTCTGACAAAATTCAGCCCATGTGCTCAACTTTGACTCCACCAATTTGCCAAATAACTTGGCAAAAATACTACCCACCATGATAGTGCGATAGTTGTCACCAAGACCTTGCTCCCAGATTTGTGAATAGGAACAATCTTCCGTAGGGACCAAGATGAAGGAAAGCCATGAATAGCAGCATCCTCTAACACTTTCGTGAGTATAGGCCCAATAGCATCTCCTCCCCACTTGAGAAGTTCAATGGAAAGCCCATCCAAATCCTCACATTTACCATTTGCCAATTGTCTGAGTTGAGTCATCACTTCAACTTCTGAAAATAAGCCTGGATTTCCTTCACAATGTGGCATAGATGCAACATTGGGAAAAAAATAAAGCTTTTCAGCAAAAGAAATCAAAGACTTGGGATCAAGAGTAGGTTTAGAAGATCGTACTGCCAACCGCCTCCAAAAGGATTTGGGATTCTCCAAGAGCTCCTTTGTCAAGCACTCTTGCTTCTGCCTCAAAAATGCTCGTTTCTTGGACTTCACCAAGTCTTTGTAAAGTCTTGTCATAATCAACCGATTGTGAAGATCCAAGGATTTATCAAGTGATCTCGCCCTCGCTTGCTTGCAATCAAAGTCAAACCATCCATTGCAAGGAAGACCTCTAGCTCTCTTGGTCTTATGTCTAAAAAAGAACTTAGAAGCAGAGTTTTGGAGCAACTCAGTTAGTTGCAAACTAGATGTATGTGGATCAAGGCTCCAAGTAGTACAAGTCAAGAGGTCTTGGAAATGTTCACTATAAAGTTGCTTCTTACTAGCATCTAAACAAAACTTGGAGGAAGTAGAAACATAGTGACATGTAGGGAGAGGGATTGACGTTGACAACAAAAAGAGTAAATAAAAGAGGTGTATGATCTGATTCTGGTTGAGGCTCTAGAATATCAAACGCTGAGATAAATGAACTATTAGTGGCAGAGGACAAAAGATAATCTATAGTGCTAACACCTGTAGAGGAAAAACATGTATTGGAGTGAGAGTTGGGAATGAAAGAAACACCATTGAGAACTTTCAGATTACAAGTGGCTCCAAAAGTCAAGAAATGCTCAATCAAATCATTTGTACAAGAATCACAAGAGATTCTAGACCACAAACTATCTCTACTTTCTTCAAAAGAGTGAGAAGACAAGGAACTATCAAATTGTGTAAATTGAGCGGAACGTATGCGGGCATTGAAGTCTCCAACAAGAAAAATTTCACCTTTTGTCTTGATATTTGAGAACATTTACTATGAGCCAATGGAATGGTTGACTTCGATTGCAAGTGCTTGTGGAGTAGATCTGCATGGATAATGATGCAAAGTAACAAACTGCCAAATAACTGTAAGATCCTCCAATCAATCCAAGACGAAGCCAATGATATTGTTTCCCAATATCTTGGCTTTCCAAATGTATCATAGGAAGAAGTTCAGATCTGATGAAAGTAGCAATGCCTCCAAAGCCTCTTTCTGCTCGTCGATTTCTATGGTTCCAAGTAGATCCCACCAAAGTAAACTCTTGTATCTCTCCAATAACATTACTTTCATGCTCCCAAGTCTCAACAATGTTGAGGATGTCCGCCATCTTCCAAATCGGATGTGCACTCACATACTTAGTTGTAGATAGGCCTCTTATGTTCCACATCAACACCCTCAATCTCTTGGATTGCTAGGTTGATGATTGTCTCCTCCTCTTGGTGATAATAGCTTGACTATCACGTAGATAAGCTACAAAAACTGCATCTTGAGCTTCTTTGACTTTGGCAAGCTCCTTCCTCCTTGCTTCAACTTGAAGAGGTGTAAGATCTGGATCTAACCAAATCCTCCGTCCCTTGAGAATGGCCTTGTTAGCTAAAGCCACATCACGTTGAGGTTGATCCACAAACTTAACAATAATGGCACGAGGTTGTGTGCCTTTGTTGCCAATACGATAAGCATGAGCCAAATCCGGATTAGGAACATCAAGTGTTTCAGTCAAAAACTTGGTGACCACACTCTTCACCTCTTACTTCTCAGATTCAGGTAGACTCGAAATCCTCACATTCTTCATACGAGCAAATTGATTAGCCTTTTCAATCTCTTGCTCTTGACAGAAAGAGATATGAGCAGACTTGGTAGCTTCAGCATAGGACTTCATTTTCACCTCTAGAGTTTCAACCACTTCATGCAAAGCAGGAGTAGTAACAATAGAAGGTTGAGAACCAACCTTGTCTTGAATGTACTCAACAGATCCAGAGATTTGGAGCATGATCTTCTCAAAACTTTTGTGAGAAATCTTCAACTCCCTGATTTCATTCTTTGCGGTAGCCAAGGCAGCATTTTGTGCCTTGAATTCTTGGCGTAGCACTTTCAATTCCTCCAAAACCTTTTGCACAAGATTGAGAAGTTTGTTTTCAGAATCTATCATGAACCCAACTTTGCAAGATGTTACACAAGCTCAAAGTTTCGAAATGAAAGCTTCTTGACGGCAGCTCTGTTGGGGCTGAAAATTTGCAGGTATGTGCGCCCGGCCGTTGTGAACAAGTCCACCAAATCTCAGCTCCTGTTGACACTCCAGCAAGAAGATATGGCCCCCGCAATATTCATGCTCAAACCCCTAAACTCAAAGTTTCGAAATGACAACTTCTTGACAGCAGCTCCGTTGGGGCTGAAAATTTGCAGGTATGTGCGCGGGGCCGTCGTGAACAAACCTACCAAATCTTAGCTCCTGTTGACACTCCAGCAAGAAGATATGGTCCCCTCAAGATTCATGTTCAAACCCCCAAACTCAAAGTTTCGAAATAATATTTCAGAGTTTCAAAGAGTTATGAGTGACATACAATCCGTGTATTGATGTCAAAAAGTTTCACACACCAACAAATATAAACTATTAAAAAGAATTTCAACTATAGCAAAGTGTGCTATTATTTGATTGATATGTGCTCTTGTTACGATGTTTAGTCTGGTTATGAATTAAATGAATAAAATAATAAAATTTTCTATAAATTGTTGAATGAAAAAATCTACATGAGCTAATTATTTGATATTTTTAGGAATTAATTCAGATATTTTTGTAATTCAAATTAATATTAATCTCAGTTTGTGAACCTAATTAGACTCTCATCGTATAAAATAACTTGCAAAATTCTTGTGACATTTCAAGACTTTTCTTTACAAAACTTTTGTGTTTGCATGGACATAATTCTTGTGTGCAGTTTTTTGTCTTAACATTTTGTGTCTAAGGTCACATTTCACTCTAACGTATACAATTTAATCACTTTTTATTGCAAGATTTTTGTGATTATATTACAACAAGGAGTATATCCAAGTTCAATATATTTATTCAAAAATATAATTAGAATAAATTGGATGCATCAAATTATAATATCTTATTTACATCATCAATAGAATATTTTCTATGTTCTTTTATCTTCTATATTCAAATTTGAATATTGATTTAGATATTGCACTAAAAAATTAAATTTAAGATCATAAAAAGAATTCGCATGTTGAGATGTTACAAAATATTTATTTAGTAATACATAATATTTACTTAATAAGAAATGAGATTTTCTATTCGACCACACTTATTTGGACCCGTATGAAAGCACCAGTACTTTCGCCACGGAGTCATCTTCAACGTGTATCAGAAAGACTCGAAACTAGTTAAGTTGAACTTTCACTACACGAAACCTATAATCTGAGTGAATTCCATATAATAGGTGAGGGTTAATTAGCCCCTGGTGAGTAATGACTAGCCACCCCTAAAAGAAGCATGTACATAGAATATTAAAAAAGCTTGTTGCAAGAAACTTGTCTATTGAGATGTCTGTGTTGATAAGAAATGGTTGGATGTCACTAAACGATCTAGTCTTAATATCGCGGGCTTACGAATTTTTTCAAAATTTCTTACTTCTAGCCTAAATATCGCGGTCTTACGACTTTTTTCGAGATTTCTTACTTCAACCGCTGCGTTACAGTAATTCTTCCATCAATCCTAAAGATATACTTCATTGTCAGAATCAAAAAACTGTTTGTGGACGCTGTGTATACTCTTCTCTACGAACTGCAAAACAAAACAGAGTTTACTGCTCTGTCAGATTCTGCTTTACATGATAGGAACAATGTGAGAATGCAAGTACATGTCTAGTTGTTTTACGGATTCAGGTTCCTTGAACAACGGTAATCACCCAACAATACGTGTTTATCGACTCTATATCTTTGTGACAAGTCTAATTAGGCAATTAATTTCTTGGAAGCCTATCGAGATGGCATGATCAACTGCATCTGCGTGGAAGCTCCCCGAAGCAGTACGAGCTATTGAAAGACCATGCCTACTAACATCATTCTTCGGTATCTTAGATTGACATTTCGATCAAACCTACCGTCCAGATATTTACGATCCTTAGGTCTAGAAAGAAGAAGTATCTTGTGACAACTCAGGTGTTGTGTACGAATATCGCGTAAGGCGCAAACGTTCTGCAGTGATTTGCCATTCGACCAAGAGTCTACACGTCATGACCTTGCTCTCTAAAATTACCTATGCCACAAATGGGTGATGGGTAATTTCAGAAGTCATATCACTAGATCCACACCGATGCAAGGACAATGACTTCCAACAAATTTCCACTTCTATACGAGACAGACAAGAAGCACTACCAGAGTGCTGGGTAGCATACGACATATTTTAAGTCAGACCCTACTTGCGACAACGCCTACACCCGAACCTTCGTTTGACCCTTCCAGCAACTAACAATAGCTAGGTATTCCACCGACTGAAGAAGATCGATATATATCAATCAAGGGAAAATTATATAGATCACTGGAATGAAATCAAGAATGATCGATGCAAATAATATGTTTCCTGCGCTTCCGGAAGGAGGAATTTCAACCAAATTATCTTCAGGTGCTTCTTCTCACTGGAGAGTGCTAACACTCAACTGCTTACATGTCGAAATTGATCTTCTAAACACAACAGATCTCTTACAAATGTACACTGATGCTACATATTATAGATCCACGGTAGCTAGGGTCTGTAGTGCAGAAGATCAAGGGCACTAGAGAGACCACATATGAAGGTTAAAGCTATAATTACCCGGGATCTCAACACCCTTGATTAAAACGCAGGCACTCAGGAAGAATGAGTGATGTGTGAAGACAGCTATTGGAGTGAATACAAGCAGCTGTCAAGTCTTGGGCACGCATGCCCTCTGACAAAAAATTAAAAACTAAATTGTATGAATGGATTGTAAGATTTGAGGGTTTGCTTCTCATCTTCCTGCGCTATCCAGTCTTGCCTTGGCCCGGTCTTATTGAAACCCAAATTTCACAGAGTTCCATGAAAACGGGGGCAAAATGAAGCGTATCGTGACAGGGCCCCTCATCACAACGCAGACACACACGCACAAGGCAGCGACGGCAACCATTGACACCATAAAGGGCCGGTAGAGAGATGCTCTTGAAGCTCTATGACGCATGGATGCTGGGACATGACTACATCGTCTAGGATGAACAAGTCTTGCGGCAACAGGCATCTCCACTTGCGGGAATGCCCTGTTTGACCACACTGGAAGCTCCAGAGAATACTGAGGATTATTCGCGGCACTGGTACTTGGATGCCCAAAGATGCTGCTGACACTTATTGGCATGTTGATTGGCATGTTGATAGTGACTTGACCATCCCTCCTCGCAAGCTTACTTCTCACCAACTGCATGTACGATGCCTTCTTCCCGGCCAGCGCACAAGCAAAGGGAGTCTCCCCCATGGAATTTTGCACATGCGACCAAGTGTGTAAACCGATCTGTTAACAGAAAAAAATTTAATCACCAGATCAGGAGAAGAGCGTTAATTGAGAACTCTCATGGCCTGCAAAATGTTCTGTCCATATAGGTGAAAATCATATAATGTTCGTAACTTACATAATTCGGGTCACTCGTGAGCGCATCAATGATCCCCTCCGCACCCTCCATACTTGCAGCGACATGCAGTGGAGTAAAGCCCTCTGGCCCGGCCACATCAGGTGTAAATATACACCTATACTGTGAACCGTGCCTGGAAAGTCTGGATAGAACTTGTTGCACTCTCACATCACCATCGTCAACCCCAGAATATGGAACGTAAGCCAGCAAAAGCTCCACCATAGGTCTGCACTTTTTCTTCACGGCTCTATGAAGCAGGCTGGTTTCATCATCAAAAATTTCAACCAATCCATTCAAAGTCTGGCCTCCCGTTTCCAAAGAGAGACCGAGCGCAAAGATAATGTCCAATATCTGCTTCACAACAGCACACCAGTCGCGCTCCACGGCGTAAACTAAGAGGCGCTTCTGGCGAGAGGGAACGAGCAGAGGAAGGTCAACCAAGGGATGGATGGTTTGACTGTTCAAAAAAAGCCACCCAAGCTCATTCAGCACATTTTTTACTTCCAACTCAGCCATGGCCCTGGCAACACGAATCTGATGGAAAACCTCTTCTGGCTCGCAGCCACTGAGCTTTGCTTGATTTGCTGCAATCAAGCCTTGATTCTCAATTTCTTGCTCTAAAGAGCGAATCTCCGAGCACACTGGATTGTCTGCTACTATGACTGGCACTGCATCTCCACCACCAGCTTGTCTCTCTACCTGTAACCCAGCAAAGAAACGTAGTAAGTAACATGTCTTCTAATAAATCTGGTTTATTTTCTACCCTGTACCCTCATTTATCTCGGTTCTATCCTAATCATCACACAGTCAGGTGAAAGGCAACATCCAGGCATGAGCAATCAGGGCCTGACAAATCACGTATCCCTGAAACAACAGTTATGTTAATGATATAAACTTTTGTAATTACTGAATGTTTCTTGTCTCTTCCAACCCTGTAACACTTTCTATGACGAGAAAAGAACTTCAGAAACTAGCGGTTCTTGAATCCTGCAACTCCCAGAGATTGTAGACACTTTCTTGACCATATGCGAATTAAATACTACCTCGATAAAGCAGCGGCTCACAATGCCGGGGAGACCACCGCTGAAGGTGAACTCGAGCGCATCTTCCCCAGTGCCTGCTTCCTCACTTTCAGCACGACCTGGGGGAACCGTTTCTCTGGCTTGCTGTCCATCGGCCCACTGAACCCCTTCAGCCATATATTTTCCTTGGTATGGACAGAAAATCCTACACAGAAGAGGCACAGTACACAGGAACTGTTTTAAGTGCGAACACCAGTATGAATGATGCGGAGTGCAATACTCTACACACAATTTATTACGTCAGAAGACGGAGACAGAAACGCATAGTATACGTTTAGTATCCAATGACATCAGAGTTTAGAGCAGCGTAGACTCTGACGATACATGCTGCGTAGCGGTTGCTTTTATGCTCGTAAATCTAGAAGAGGTATCAGAAAAAACCATGAAATTGTACTTCATATTCGTTTCACATTTTACGTTGCAAGATGGGATGATCGACACAAAATAGAGAGGACAGTCAAGTGGACAACTGTATGTCTGTGCTTCTACAATGTCTGCCAAACACACGGGCTTAGCTCGAGTAAGCCACCCGAACAAAAAAAGCAAGCACCCACAGCACAAAATGCATATCAAAGTGAAAGTTAATAGCAGGTGAAGCGCAAAAATTCGACCAAAACGGATAGCGTTTATCTAAGTGAACGAATCGCTATGCACCTGTACAGGACCGAATATCGCACGAGATAGCAAAGACAAGATTCTGAAAAGACAAATCAAGAACTCATCGGCAACCGTGTTGGAGTGGAAGTAATTGAGACTAGAAGTCAAAACTGACTCGTAACTAGAGTTTCATGATTTGATAACGAAAATTCCTGTCAAAAAGATGATGTATAAGGAAACAGAATGTTGCAGACAAAACACGCTCTAAACATGCATATGCCCGTCATCTTGTCAAAGCAGCTGGATAAGAGCCACTAGACCTCGTCAAGAAGCTTCTGTAATACAATGCCAGGCAAATGTACGTACAAAGTACTCCAGAACTTCCATAGGATAACAAAGTGGCCTCTCGTTCTCAAAACACGCGTCTTCCAACACAACAAAAATATAGGAAGCCATGGTCGTTGAGAAATATATACCCTGTCCCAGGTCGTTTGAGATTTGATCCCCTTATAAAAATCTTGGTGCTCTGACCTGCAACAACAGCTAGCGGCCGAACTGACAATATTTGAGGCAATCTCGATCCTTTCGGTTTATTTATGTGTACCCTGCCTGCACCCCGAACAAATTCGGACTCAGTACTTAAAAAGTTAATCTCAAATGAACAAGTTATTAATGCGATCTATGTCGTTATTAACCTTTCACGTAAATGACTGAGCCTAGAGGAAAAAGCGTACAAACTTCAAAATCGCCTTAAATAAAAAGCAAAGCGTGTAAACCGCTGGATGAACAACCGACATATGATCATTAAATTGACAATAATCACAAATTGATTCTAGAGCTATCTGTTTAGTAAGAACTCTGTGCCCAGCAGATAATCAGGCACTTTATAAACTGGACAGACCATCTTCGACAAGAAGGGTGTGTTCAAACTGTCACGAGATTAGGTTCAAAAGATACTGACCATCTACAATCAAGGCATTTTGCCGTTCCACTTGTACATGAATTCGACCATTACACCAGAACGTCCCACAAGATGTCAGCCTCTGTAAACTAGCCCGCATGTTACTCTCTAGCTGCATATACACAAAGCACCGAACACAGCGTTAGAGTAACAGGGACAAAAGATACCGTCTGAATTTAAATTCTACTTTACCCGTCACGCTTCCGATGCTCTGAGGCCTCATTATAAGATTTAAGTTGAAGTGGACCCTCTGCGGGATGTAGAGGTACAGCATGTACCTGTGCAACTGCGGTTTTGTAGAATTATCAACCCATCCCAACGCAGCACGTGCTAAGACAAGTCATTACAAAGACCACGATAATTGACAATGGATATGAAATGTACCTCTCCCCAAGCCAAACTGGGCATGGACAGAAAAATTGTGAGAACAACACAGCCAGGACGAATGTGGCTCTCCATGTCCGATGGCCTGTGAGCGAGCCACTCTAAAATCTGCAATTCAATCCACACAAAACTTACGTGAGCATATGGAAGACACTTCTATAAACTTGTAAACCTGGCTCAAGTTCATCCAGTGTTTAACTGATGAATACTCTAGTACAGTTTTGCCTTCCCCTTCAATCTTATTTGATGGGGTCCATCTCGGCTACCATCGTTAGGTTATGTTAACCTAAGTACTCAGGTTACCATAACCTAAGTTACTTAGGTGTTGGGTTCGTATGCAAGCAAAAAGAGATTACTTGTACGATAACCAAATAACTAAATATTTCCTAGTGACCGACTGAACAACCAAAAGATATACACGTCCGAAAATTGTTAGAAATCATCTAAGTTCTCACACCCAGAGATGGCAAGGGATAGACAGGGAGGTTGATGATACTGAAGGTTGTTTCCATCGCTCACAGGATTAATCCATGAAGATGTATCGCAAAGAAGTAGCGAGTGACCACGACGCAAACATACACACTCTAAGTACAATCAACACAGGGGCCTGTGAAAGGAGACGAATCCGGCACGTCCGGACACCTACGAAAAATATCTACAATGCGGAAATCATCATCTGTCCAGAACAGAATACCAGAGCAGTTGATACGAAGCCAAGACACTGTGCAGAAAAACATTTACCCCCAAATTCATAAACTTCAACATAGAAGAAATTACATCCAACAAACAAGCAACGATTGTCGCAGACAAACATCACACTGGACCTACCTCTTTACGGAGAGACTGCGGAAGTTCTCCTGGATCCTTGTCGAAAAGTTTGAAGGTTATTCGCCCAGTTCGACCCTGCATTTCAAAACGTCAACGTAAGATCTTGCAATTTTTGCGTTCAATTCAAACTTGATATCCGCTTTATTTCGTAATCCAGAAGAGTGTTTGCTGGTGAGACAGAACTCAGAAAATAAAAAGTTTCGTTTCATGGGTAATAATATGTTCTCAGCATAACCCCAGCCACGGTGTGGTACTTCAACCCCGTGCCATTACTCCTATTAAAAAATAAGAGTGCCTTCGCTCCAAACCCTTTCGATTATTTCATTCATAATCCCAAAATGACCTTCACCAACACCCCTCCTTCAGAGGATATCAAGGAGCGGCGGAAAACTTGGATTTGTACCACACCATTCTCACGCATTTGAGTTTACAAGATGGAAAAGCAACGTAATGCCTTTGAATGGCTTTTCCGGACCCGCTTACGACTGCCATGCTTATGGATAAACATACGGATTAAGTATAAAAGCAAAATGCCGATTCCAATTACAGGTGTGGTGCAGAGAAAATGGGTACGAGATAAAACGCTAGTCAGAGCTAACGTTCTCTCTATACATAGTTTCATTTCCTGTCTGCTGATGCTTCGTTCTTCTTCACTACTTCTCCACTTCAATATAATGGTAAGTCGAGATCTTGAAGCTATGATGCAAATGCGAGTTCCGAAATGTCAACAGGCAACGGACAGATTATAAATAATCGATCACGAGATGGACTAACACGGTGTGAGAGAGACCCCAGATTATAGAACTGATTGTACTAGGGTCACTCACAAATAAGATGAACACTGAAAGTTCAATGGTTCTTGGAAAAAAGCTTGGATATATTTGCAAACGTGCGGGTTCGCAGCAATAGAATGCAGAGACGGAGAAGAAACTGAATGAATGGAAGGGGAAAAAAGTGCATACACTACTGTACTCTAAAACAATCCAACGTCAAACGTCTACGCAATGTAGAGGTGATAAATGGCTCGAAAGAGAAGAGAGTGTTAATTCTCAGTCTTGATGTTCAACCAGTGTATGTTGCCCCGTGTCAGATAAAGAGGGCAAAAGCCAGAGGAGTTGAACAATAAAGAAACGACAGAAACCTTAGGAGATTGAGAACACAAGGGCAGTGGTAGATATATACTGAAAAGACCTCACAAAGCTGTATGAAGATACACATTGCGGGGGTCCGAGAATCCAACATACCTGCCAATCATGTGATGAACTCGAGGGAGAGTTATCAGAGCCGGAAGGTGAACTCTCGCTCAAATTTTGAGGGGGAGGTAGCTGAAGATCTATACAAGGACGTGAAGGATGCGAAACAACTTCTTGCAGGTTTCTTGACTCCTGGCCTTCCATGAAAGTCATCATCGACGCTGGTGCTTCCCCGTCTGACGTCGATTCAGTAGCACCATCGTCATCTCTGTTGACGTCAAGTTTTCCATTTCCGCTACCCCTGTATTCTGAAGCTTGCGTAACGGGGAAGAGCTTTTGTGGCACAGCCGATGGTGAGACTTTGCCTGATTGCAGGTCTGTTTGTTGATGTTCACCACGGTGAACAGAATTCTCCAAAATACCCTGTTGAAGAATGCTGTTAGACCTAGACCTAGAAGATGATGCCAGGTGCGTCTCAAGTGGCCTAGTCACCATCGGAGATGATAAGGACAACAATGGTGGGCAAGCAACCGCATGTTCAACATCCTTCTCTGGCATCCTTGCACCAAGGGAAGCCAAAGGCAATGACCCATTCCCAGTGCTTACGCTGGCATGAGGAACTTCGGCGGCTTTCAATAAAGCAGACGCTAACTGACTTTGCAGCAGGAACGATAAAGTTTCCGTTGTTGCAGGGGCGGCGGCAGCCGAGGCTAAAGCGGAAAACCAGGCATCTGCTGGTTCTGCAGATCCATTGTGCGTGGCGTCATTGGTGCTTGACTGAGGCTTGAGATCTGGCCTCCCATTTTCGGCAGAAACTCCATTGACCTTAAAAAGGTTCGCCAATGATGCTCCTTCGAGACCGGCCGGTGTAATACCTTTCTTCAGGTACTGCCTCACTAAAGCCTCACGCTCGCTCACCGCTCCTTGAATGGCTCCCACGGAGCTGACGGCTGTGTAAAATTAAGACATCATTCCAAAAAATCAGGTGATGCAAAAAGTTTGACCAAACACATCTTCCTAAACTCCCATCATCATGTATTTATGCAGTGGGGAAGACAGCAGTTTCGGAGAAGCCGTTTGAAACGAGTAACCACAATTAACAGCTGACCTGTCTGCAATTACCTTGTGAACCATGGTCTCACACCACATAACAAGAACTAGCTATCAATACCATTCCAACTTTAGTGTGAGGTAAGGTGTCCATCTAAGGAGATAACTAAGGAAATGATCTTCTAGTCTAATAGTGTGAGCATCATTTGCAAGTAGCAAAAACGTTATTGAACCATAAGTGAACTTCGAGCTCTTGTAATGTGTAAGATGCCACTCCATCCCAACTTCATTCCCGGAGGTACAAACAAATTGCCTGCAAAATCTACTGTGTGAAACTTTGTGGCACAAATACGTTCAGAATGAATGCAGGTACAAAAATGGATGCAACTGAAATAAAGCTTCGACGTCTTCTTGCCTTGAAGTTGAGTCAGAATGTTCAGGATGCCTACAAGCCCAGCAACATTTCCTGCGCCATTTTCCTCGCCGTTACCGTAGCCCCGGGCAGCAGTTGGATCAGGTTGATTTTTCCTTCTACGACTATTATGACCGGCCAGTCTTCTTCTACAGCTCCGCTTGCCTTCATCAAACGCCGTAAGGGGATGGAATCTGCGAAGAATTAGAATGGGTAAGGCACTTTCAGATCTCGTTATATAATACGGAGCAGTCTGACAAATAGCATTAAGCTGCACCAGTTCACATGTGTTTGTCTAAGTAAAAGTCAAGTTTAACACAGCCAGAGCAACAAAAAAATCACCTGCTGCACTGCTGACAGAACCGCTGCATAAGCCGAGTAACCGACGCCTTTCCTGCTTTAGCATGCATCTCACAAACTTTGTGCCTCCTGTGATAATCTTTTGCATGGCTCAGATCGGCCTTGCAGTCGTCAACCTGACACATCGGGAATTGAGGGCCAGGCGAAGAAGAACGGAACCGCTTCGTCCCACGAGGGCCATTGCCCGCATCATCGGAATACGCATAGGAATGGCCACCCAGTTTTAGGCTCAATGACTCTGCATCTTCTTCTGGAGAAGAGCCATCACGCAGAAAAGGCTGCGCTTTGTCGGAGTTACCATACCCATTGTCTTGATACCCTAGATGATGTTTCCTTCTCCGATCACTTACATAGGGATCGTCATGATCACTGGAGCCATTATGGTCTGGACTTGTAGACGTGCCATCAAGCCTTAATACCACCCCGTCCCTGCTGGGGGCGTGGAACTTCCGCCTGCTGCCGTTATCGTCAGTTTGGTACGTTCGCTGAAGTTCAATGGGTTGTGCAGCTTGTGGGTTTGGCTGGGCTAAGAAGAGAACGTGGTCCCAGTCCCAACTTTTGACGTCCCAATCAGCCATCCTCGCCCCATTATATTGATGGTTGTACGCTCCATGATCAAGCGATCCTTGCCTTCCACCGTTCACAGTCTCACGAACTCTTGCACCAGGGAAAAACTGGTGTGGAAGAAATGGGGGACTGCTCCTGGTGTAGGTGTCCAGGGCAACTTGTGATCCACCCTCGCTGTCCATGATGTGCCGTCAAGAAAGCCTAAATACGACCGAGAGAGCAAACGCCGAGGAAGGTGCAATCGTGCCTCCTGGGAGAAAAGGGCATATTAGGAATGAATGAGCTTGTATGGTCTTGTAGACCACAGTCTTTCCAAGAGAGGAAGAATCCGGTGCGTGACCAAGAGCTCGGCAAAATCCCAAATAAGTGTTTATAGAACTGCCACAATAGACCTCCTGGTCGCTGTTGAAGGGATGCTATCTGACCAACAAACGCATCCTCCAGGGACTCCAAGTTTCCAAACAACAAAAGTAAGCTATCAAACTCTTCCGTGCCTACTCCAAACTCTTGAAACAACTATCGACTACACCCGCTCTCTACTACACCGACTTCAGTGCAAATTCTTGACAATGATCGAAGGCCCCACCGTAGCGCAGAATATCTCCCTGTTCACTCCCTGTTCAAAGGCTTGCTCTCGACCTCTTCGTCCTGCTTTGTTGAGCTGTATTCCATGTCCTTGCCAACTGTGTATTATGCACCGGCGTGTGTGACATGACTCTTGCTTATCATTGTCGAAACGCGGACCACATAATCTCTGGAATCGGAAACGAAGGGAGAATGAGCGCAATCCCAAGAGATTGCAATCAAGCGCGAAGTGCTTTACAAGTGTCACCGGTCCCTGGGTAAAGGGAAGCCGTACAATTCCATTGAGGCTACATATTCTTCCAACTCTTCTCTGTGCTCATGACAACCTGACTTCGTGCCCCACAAGGAGAGTTGTCTCATGTTCTTCAGTAAAGCATCAAGCCCTTCCCAACCACTAATGTCTCATTCCCTGGTGTCATATGATAGTATAACTCTTCGTTGCCTTCAAAGTTCTCGATGGAAGTTAGTGTATATAGCCACAAGCCTTTCTACTGCACCAAAAAGGCAAGTGCGTTCATAAAAAGTGATTAAAATCTAGCAAATTATCTACTCGAACATCCCTGAAGTCTCAAGGAGTTAGAAACAGCCTCCGTTACTAACATGGTACTACGCGTCTCGCCTTCGGTCCCGGGTTGACAAACACAGTTCCCCACCTAAACCTCGTGACAAGTGCCCAGACGCTCTTGCTCCTTCACAACCTCTTTCGAACGGTAAACATCCATTGCCCTTCAAAACACTTGCTCTCGTCACCTATTCAATCACCGTCACCCGGGGCAAATCCTCGACTCGACAAACGTCCCGCAGATCTGACTACCAGCAAACAGTCCTCGGGTTCCTAGGCAATCCAGCATCACCAACTTGGCACCAGACAAGCTACCGCGAGAGTTATCGTCTCTCTACGCACATAAGTGGAGAGGCCTGCGCTCGAATCACCCCACCCACTATTCACAACGACCTCGAAAGCCACCGAGCGAACTCCAATCCCTCGTACGGATTAGGGTTGCAATCCGGTTAAAAGTGATACTCCTCGTCCTCGTCCTTCTCGTCTGCCGCGTCCGAGGAAGGGGCAGGGACGAAGAGCTTCCACTCTCTCTCTCTCTCTCTCTCTCTCTCTCTCTCTCTCTCTCTCTCTCTCTCTCTCTCACGCCAGATCGCTCACTCTACATGCCTCAATCGTTCCACAATATCGTCAAATTGCAGGCACGAAGTCTAAGCACGAAGAAGAGGAAGGAAGAGGGAAGAGAATCTTTCTTCTTCTTCTTCTTCACTTTCCTACGACGCTGCTTTCTGCCTGCTGTTGTTGTAGCAGCTGCAGCACCTCCCCGCCTGTCTCAGCAGCAGCATGTCTTTTGTGTGAGAGTCGCTGATGATCTTTGGCTGTGGCCTCGTCCGTCCTCCATCCTTGCCTTGCCTTGCCTTGCCCTCGATCTCCCCGCGAGTCGTCGTCCTCCTCGTGCTCCTCTGTCTGTCTGTCTCGTCGTCGTCGTCCGAGAGACTGGAGAAGAAGCGTAGGAGCAAAGACCAGCAGCAGCAAGACAGGAATCCGATGGGCACCAAGGAAAGCCAGAAGCGGGTCTCTCTTTCTCCGGGGCCACACACAACGGCTGCCGGTCGCCGATAGCACGTCCACCGTCTACTCCGGTCCCGTGCATCAGGCTGATGTTCATATCTACACCTGAGCTGGCATGCATGGTGACTGATGGGAGGCCGTGCGGAGCGATACGGCCGCCTTTCTGACCGGCAGCGGAGCGAGAGAGCCAGACCTATGCCCATACGCATCCCATCAGCGTGTGTTTCCATGCATCCCATCAGCACCCCATCATCATCATCGTCGTCTATACATGTAGTTGGGTACTGTGGAACATGCAAGTACAACTAAACTTAGTTGGGCTTTTCTTGTCTGGCCCTGATTCTTCTGCGGGATTTACCCAATGACCGTTCTCTGTTGTAAGTATGGCCTCGCCCTTGCTCGCCTGCCCGCCCGCCTCTTCTTTTGTATTTCCCGTCAATTGCTGGAGATAACTTTCGCCGGGCGCGGTTCATTGACCTGGACCAGGGCCGCCTGAGCAGCGGCGTTGCTGATCTGCGGCTGGCCTGCGGTCGATGCGAGGCATCGACGGCTCGGCACGTCGCCCGCTCGCCCGCCCGCGCGCGGGCGAGCCAACGGGCCCAAGTACAGAGTGTTGCCCAGGGCGGGCGAACTGCAAGAACGGGCTTTGGTCGTCGCTGTAGTGGAAGCTCGTAGCGGTAGAAGTACGAGTGGCGAGCGCAAGTAGTAGCCATGAGGGACAAGATGTCGTGTTTTCCAAGAGCGTGATGAGATGGATGACGCCGGCATCGGTCGTCACAGCCGAGTGATTGTCTTTGTTTGTTGGGGCGAAAAAGCTGACGGCCCGTCCCCGGCTACCTTTCCTCAGAGGGCCCGAGCTGGGGCTGCGGAGAAGCGTCGAATAGCGAGAGCAAATCGCGAGCACTGGATTGTGGAGGGAGGAGCTGTCGCGAACTGGGACGGAACTGGGTTCTGGCCTGTCCAGTTAGAGCGCGGTAGTCGGGCGACAATTTTAATCTCTGGTATGGATGACTCCTGGGTTGGCGCGAGGGAGTGCGAGCACGGGAGTAGTTTCCCCGTTCCTGACTGCACTATCATATCTTCTACACAATCTTTTGGAAAATGTCTTTCAGGTAACACCGCAGCACATGGCGCATGACTGACTCCTTTTCCTCCTCCTCCTCGGCTCCTCCTTTTATTGTTGATTCAAACGCTAGCGTAGGAATATAGGTGCATTCTTGTGTCCTCGCCCTGGGCCTGGTCAACATGAGGATATTGTTCCGATTAGACGGAGAGGCTATATCCTCCGAATCTTCCGTAGAAGATTTTTGACCACACTGTACAAGTTTTGACATCTCATCTCGCCGAACTGAAAGTCATCGGTCCTTCGGAGCGTTGCATCGCAACAACGCTTCTGTACACACGTACGTCCATTCTTCCACCACTCCGCTTCCTTCTTGATGAGCTTCACACACAGGACCCAAACTACCTACAGCCTGGCTCCGGCTCTGCGAAAGTGAAAGTTCGACGGTGGAGCTCTTTCAAGCCTTGGTCCGATTTTCCATCGAAGGTACCGGGAGGGAAACTGGCATTACTCTGTCTCTACGCATCCGGTGTCCCGACCACTTTAGCTTACTTCCTCATACCCACTTATGGCGATGTCTTTCGAACCCGCGTAATTCGATCAAGATGCAGTGGCCATCCGTTTCGGACCATCCTACCCTTCTAAATCCACTTACCTCTGCGTCAGTCGCCGTGGGTATCACTTACGTATCCACCTCGAGTATTCGTTCTTTCGCTACCGCGATGATACACCGACTCCGGTTGCAAGTGTTTCCAATGCATTACACAGCTTTTTGGAAAAGAAAGGGCAACACTGATAGACTACACAGACCCTAAGGAAAACAATCGAACTTAAGTTCGCCATTATGCCCTTCTCTATTGCTTGGATGGTTGTCATTAGCAAAACATCCAACTGATGCGGCTCGGCCCGAATCAAGAATTATACCCGTCTATTTGACCATGAGCTGCGAATGGCATAAGTCCTTCAGAGTGGTTATTGAGAAGACTCCTGTCAATGAACGATTAGATCTTTCACCCAAAGTTGTTCCACAACAATTGTATCTTACGCTGGAAGGGAGGTACTTTTACGTGATGACACGTAATCAAAGTTACGTATCTTCATGATCGACAATTCACCTGCTCATATATCCAAGCCATTTTCTATACTTCTCGGTTTTGCCAAAACTCATGCAATGGATACAAACCTTACTATGCAGTTTTGCACTGAAACCGAGTTTATGGGATTTTCAACATAATGCTCAAATGACGAGTTCTATTCTAGTAACTTGAAAGTCAGTTTCTGAATTGTGATGGATAGTAGATTTTTGCGAAAGTATTGAATTGTGAATCTCAAAATGGACGTGTTTTGACACTGATCTATTTCATATATCATGTTTACCAAGATTGTGTACTTGTAATCGTATTTAAAATCAGACAGAAGTTTTGTAAAATTTCAAATTGAAATAATTTTTATAAGATTTATGAGTTCTTTTAATTTTTATTGATGTTGCAGATAATTCTTATTGATAACATTTTCAATGATTCTTAAGATAGATTCTGCAGGATATTTATTAGTTAAAAGGGAAATAATTTCCTAATTCAAATTCAAATTTCAAAACAGGAATGTTCAACTCTTTGCTTGCAAATTTTTTTTAAATAAGTAATATTTTTTATTTTAAGTTTGAGTAAAAGATTTGCATATGATTGGTACGATAAAATTGAAGTTTCAAATCATATTGCATCTTGATATCTCTTTTCAATCATATCTCTATTCAAAATCAAATATTGTTTCATCCACCAAAGATTATATTTGGTGAGTGATTTCAATTATCATTAAATTTGATAAAAATAAATAAAAATCGCATTCAACTATAATATTTTTGAAAACTATGATGAAGATAAATATCAACGTGTTTGAAAAAAAAATGCATCATAATAATTGACGTTATTCTTGTAAACAAAAAGCAAATATAGTAATAAGAATTTAAAAAAATTACTCAATTTCTTCATGTCAATAAAATATTTGAAACTTGTACTTAGTTTTATATTACTATCAATGTTCGTCCTTAATAAATGAAAACAACCAATGTTTTAAATTCTCAAAAGCACATATTACTCACATAAAATGAAAAAAAATTATAAATAAGGCTACTTTGTTTAAAAAAATTGCACAAAATCAAAATTGTAATATAACAAATTTACAAATGCAATGATTTATAGTTATGGTAAATTATGAAAATAATGTAAATAAATAATTTACAAGCAATTTTTCATTGATATAAAAAAACGCTGTTAGATTTTACAAAAATGTGTTGTCAAGCATAGTTTTTAAATTAAGATTCAATTTTTTCACACAAAATATTTATGCATATATAAAAATATATAAATTATCAATACATGTATATAAATTCGATATTTTAAAACAAAATTGATACAAATAATAATATGCATAAGATGAAGAGTGCAATTATCATTGAATTAAATTATATTTTCATATGTCATATGATATATATATTTATATAAAAGTCAATTTATTTTGCAGTAATTGTAAGAAGAAAAATTTATCTATTGCTTTGATTGAAAATTCAATAAGGATTAAATAATAATATATATTCTCATTTTATATCATATTTTAAATTTCAATTAAAATAAATTGATTATATAGTATAAAATTCAATGATAAAACTACTCGCTTCAAACGTTTTTATGAAATCTTGTATCCACGTAATAATTTGAAATTTGAAATTATTGTTTTATGATACTGCTGTTTTCTATTTTTTATTAACTCTATAAAAGAAAATAATTTAATTTAATTTAAATTAAAATTTTTATATATCTGGATATCAATAATATGTATGTTCAATATAAAATAATTTCAATAATTTACCATTTATTTTTTATTGTGAAATATTTTTTAGGTCTATACCAATTTTAAAATTATACTTATCTAACTTTTTGTATTGGCAATATTTTATTATTACTAATGAAAATGCGCTATATGAGATAGTTATAAGTATATTTATAAATGAAAATATTCAAGAAAAGTATTATGCATATGCTCATTGCACTTGATTTTTTTTCCATAAATATATATTTCGTTTAAAATTTTTAAATATTAAAAAATAGTTGTAAAAAATATTTATAATAAATTAATTTTGAGACTGAAAATGATGTTATCTGATAATTAAAAAAAATATCATAAAAAATTATGCAGATTATGGAAAACATGTACCAAGTTTACATCAAGATTTTTCAGATGATACCATGTTGGATATATAGTATGCCTTATTGTGAAATTAAATATTTTTAGAATCATTGTGCAAATTATATGGAAGTCAACTACATCAAAGTCATGATCAATTAAAAATCTGTTATGATTGAAAAAGACAGTTTCAACTTTGCTTGATAATTATAGCAATTTGCGTATTATTTCACAGTAAATATGTTTTTATATAATGTATATATATATATTGTTTATTATTAGGGTATATTAATCTATCATTGGATTATTTATCTAGCTATGATAATATCGATATTGATGCATAATTCTATTTAATTTTCTTCTCAAGAGATTATCGTCATTACAAGAAATATAATTGTTTCTTATTAATTCAATATTACATTGCGTTTACATTTTTTATAATTCTGAACATCTTATCATCATGATCTGTTGATTGCATAATGTAAATGTTTTGTTTATCAGATTCAATGTACAAAAAAATATAAGTGCTCATGATAGACATATTTTTCGAATGCATTGAGTTGATAATCCTATTAAGATGAACAAATAAAATATTGATGATTTTTAGCTTTGCTTCACTAATAGAGTTGTTTACTTACTAGTTTATTATATATTTTTGAAATATTAAAGTCTTCAGAGATAACATGTGATCATTTTATCATCTCAAGAAAGCATATTTGAAAAGAAACAGAACTGATTTATACATGCTACAGAATTATGACTTCGATAAATATTTGTTCGATGGATCAGAATTGATCACAAGTTATATCTCCAGCGTAATGTTCAAATTCGATTCTCTTATTTGACAAAGATTAACAACGAGATACTAATATCGGTAAAAAATAAACCTGAGGTTTAACCTCTAATAATTGGATTATAATGTGTTCTACAAGATCTTATAGTTATGTCAATGGCATTTGATAGACTAGAGATTGCTAAACGTCAAATACTTTGATTTTCATCGAAGGGTATGGATATGTAACTTGAGTTTGTAGAGTTCTAGTGGATGGTTAGGTTTTGCTTCCACAAAGTAAAATATCAGCCTCTTGTAACTGCAGCAGTAGCATTTATTTTTTTGAGAAGTTAGTACAAGATACTCGCTGACGAGCCAACCTTATATTATATTGCTGGTTTTAGTTTATCACGTTTGTCTTCCAAGTCTGCCCGAGACGTTTTCTCTAAAGGACACGAAATGAATGATATATGGCTCAATGACTGCTGCACAATGTGACTTCGAATCTCGCATGTACACCACTTATCTCCAACAATGCGGTACTGTCATATACCAGAAATATGTTAATGTGGTTAGCTTCATGTGGAAAGCTAGTGTTTCATGAGGTTTTTTCTTACTTTCTGCTATACTACTTCGAAAGCTTCATAGCTGCACATCATATCTAGGAAGATTTAATTGATAGACACATATAATTAATCATGTCAATTTAACCGTCATACGTGAATCCCAAACTTGGCCAGATTCTAGACACGAGTAAGCGAATACTTCGTTAGACTCAAGGACTACAGTACGAATGAGGTAGGATTTGAACCGTACCGGCAGGATTTTGTTTTCCCCAATGAGCGGAAGAACACGTTCAGCGGAGAAGGTTATTCTGATACGCTTTATGTACATGTTTTCGTACTTTTAAGGTTGCTCATAGTTCATAGGACGATGCAGCGGGGAAGTTACTCCTAACATTACATGTACTTAGATATTAGAGAATGTGTAAACAGTTCTGGAGGAATGCAGCCAAAAACCACTGAAAGTAAATCCCACAAGATAGTAGACGGAAGTGTGGAATTTTTAACCAAGTATAATTGAATAGAACCAATTAACATTCAGCAACGACACATATTGAAGCAATGTTGTTTCATTCTGCATATAATGAAACAAAATCATGAACCTGAGAATTTAAAACTATCTTCTCATAGTCAAAGCCTGTGTGATCCAAGGGAAGTGGATACAGCAAGATAATTCTGAAATTTTTCTAACCATTTGTATCGACATTTATCAATAAATATAATTAATTGAAAACTAATACTGCGTTTACATGACATGACTTTGTATATTCAATACAGTTTCTTATTAGCTTTTGAATGTAATGTAGACATGTTGAAAAAGATTGTGGAGTTACATTAGAATTTAGTCAATATTTGTCTCAATTAAAAGACATCTGTAAAACTATTAAAGACTTCTTTTTCAAAAAGTCCAAATTATTGTTCAAAGTTTTAGTTCATTGATTTCCTAAATTTTTTTTTATTAAATAATCTGAAAAGTGTGATCAGTACTATGAGGTAAAAAAAGTATGTGCAAATTGTATTGATACAAGTAGACAAATATTTTTGAGCAAACTAAATTATTTTGCATCTGGTTTAGATTTTTATAATACATCGTAAGTGTATATTTTCATTCACAATTGATATGACGAATGGAAATAATGAAAAAATTCTTGTGGGTTAATATCAATCAATAATGAAATTTTAGTAAAGCTAACTTTAATTTATAAAGAATATCAAAAAAACGTTAACATAGCCAGATACAGTTCAGTTGTGAGTATTGTTCTAAACTCTAAATTAATGTTAGTAATTTTTTAAGCATGCACGCATGTTTTATTTGATTAAATTGTGGATGCGGAAACACAAATTTCACGTAAAGGTACCACAATACCATAAGTCTTTAAGCTCATTTTTTCATAACAATATTTATATATCTGATGTAGATGGCAGCAAAGACATAAGAATCAATGGATTAATGAATGTAAATGGTAAATAGATCAAGCCTGTGTGACTCAAAGTGTCAAAAGGCTGAAAAACACAATACTAACAAACCAACTCCAACCTAGGAGAGAACCAAAAGAACCCCCTAACTAGTGCCCAAAGCACTAGAACGCTAACTAATAACATACATAATGTAACAACCTAAATCATAAGGCTCAAGTTGAAGCAAAGAATAGAAATTCTCAACATCAACTTTATGAGCCACTATAATCTCTATATATCTAGTACAAGTAAGAAACACATGCTATTCATACTCAACATTTTGCCCATCACATAGCCTTTCACTCCTATCAATATTCAACCAACGTAATTACTCAATTCCAAGCATATGAGATCCTGTTCTATGACTGGCAATAATATGACGTAAAGATGTAGAGATTTATGCAACAAGGTACCCTTGCTCACAGTAAATAAGCATAGGATTCACGTGAAGTTGATAAAACTGCATTTTAGTGCATACTCTCCTCCAAATGATGTTGAGAAACTCTTCCTTAATACGCTCGCGAAGGGCCATAGGTTGCAGATCCCAATCCAATTCCTTCACATTCCACCTCAAATATCAAGTCATCACATCTGCAAACCATCCCTTGGAACGTGTGGCACGCAAAGCGTGAAGAGTAAGTCGAGAAGCATCAAGAGATCTAACCCTTTTAATATAAGTAATGGTCAAGTAGAGAGCTTCAACCTCAAGAGGTAAACGACCAATTTTTGCAAGAAGAATAACATAAGGAGTTTGGTTCCTTACACCTAATTATTCTTGTAGGAAGATCTTTTGCAACCTCTCCACACGATCCAAACTTGTCTTCTTACTGCCAGGACCCCACACTTATGTCCCATATAGAACCAACTGCAATACTAAGCTCCTAAATAAAAATTTCCTAAGACTTCAAGACACTAGATGAGCTCTTGTACATCGATTTAAAAACGAATATAGAGCTTTCTAACCAGCTTCTACTCTCTTTTGCACAAAAAGTGCCCAACTATAATTCTAAAAAAATCAATGCCTAAATATTTGTAACTCTTCACTTGTTCCAATTATGCTCCCTTGTAAAAGAGAGAGAACTTGGAACTAGTGCCCACAAGAATGAACTTTGATTTTTCCAGATTGACTTTCATCTGATTTTGAGTACAAAAGCTAGTCAAAGTATCAAGGTGTTTCTGTAAACTAATTGCATCACGTGCCAATAATATGATATCATCTGCATACAAAAGAGCTTTGATCACAAAGTCTTCAAGTTGGACTCCTTCACTCTCCGTATGATACGGTAGGATCCTCGGCCTACCACTTACTTACAGCAGTGGTCTGGTAGAGCTGGCCGTCGTTGCGGGTTTATTTTGTGTCTGATCATGTTATCCGGAAAACGAACTCGAAGTATGAGAAAAGGAGAATATATGAAATACTCCTCATTTCCAACCAAAATATGATAGAACTCAAGGCCTCTCAAACAAAGTGTTGTTATATTGTGAAAACAGACTTCATAATGTACTCAGATCGAGAATCTGAAGACAGTCGGCTCAAATAGGCATATGACATAGCAATACCTACATTTGTATCTCGTTGGAAGCTATTCTAGGGAGACACATAACAAAACCTTTGTTACTGCCATGTGGCAACTCTGCACAATTCACCTTGTGTGTTTCATCTATCAAGTAAACACATCTGTGACTACAAGTGTTGTCATTGATCCTTTTACCTCATAAAAACACTAGATTCATAAAAACACTAGGTTGTATAAAAAATACTTGCGTTCATTGTGTCCGTAGGACACAATGAACGCAAGTACTTCTTATACAACCCCGTCACCAGAATGAGAGAGACGATGATGAAGACCGACGAGTAATTGAAGTTGATTATTAGGGCTAATGAATGACGATGACGAGTAGTTGAAGTTGATTATTAGAGATAGAAATTCGCGCTCTATCTCTGATTTGAATCAACTCTAATTAGAGTTGATTCAAATCAGGCATGAAGCGCAAATTTTATTACTCGGAAAACGTGGGAATAATTTTGAAATGGCATAATCGATTCGGTTATGCCATTTCAAACTATTTCCGGGTTTTCACGTACACCAACTCGGAATTGACGGTATAAAATGACACACAGCTTCATCATTAGTTCCAATTCCCTCACTAATCGATGTGACGTGAGATGGGATGAGATGAAAATTCGTGTAAGGAGAGAGAAGTTGTACTTCTGGTCGTCTTTATTTTTTTGAGCGATATGACACTGAGACATATCGCTAAGTTACTCCTGAGTGACTGAGCGATATGACACTAAGGCCAAAAATTCCGGTCAGGAAATTGATCGAGGAATGGCAGGAGCGCAATTACTGCATAGGTCTTTTCAAAGCGAAGTCCACGCTCCAGTCCGAGAGCGAAGGTGAACAAAAAGCTGCGCTCGATGATTTGATAGAGCTGTGCTAGAAGAACAGAACGAACAAGGATTGGATCGTCCAAGAAGTACTCCTGATCGATATCGTCAAAGCTCTCAAGTCCTCCGACCGAGATATGCGAGGAAGCTTGGCCGCTCTTCTCGCGCTAGTGCAAAAGATTAAACCAAATCAAGTGCCCTTGAACAGTTCGTCCGCTGCCTTGGACGAGAAGCGGGCGTGGCGAAAGCGTCGTCGTGGCGATCTATAGCTTCTTGCACAATTTGCTCTTCCTAGGCATGTGCATATTATCATGTGCATGTAGCAAATTCGAAATACAGATTCTGATTACAGAGAGAGATAGAGTAAGAGCGACAGAGAGAGGAGTGGTGGGGGGGACAGATAGAGAATAGAGAGAGAGAAGATAAAGTGAGAACGATAGAGAGGCGAGGGGTGGGGGGTATAGATAGAGAATAGAGAGAGAGAAGATAAAGTGAGAGCGACAGAGAGGCGAGGGGTGGGGGGGATAGATAGAGAATAGAGAGAGAGAAGATAGAGTGAGAGCGACAGAGAGGCGAGGGGTGGGGGTATAGATAGAAAATAGAGAGAGAGGAGATAGAGTGAGAGCGATAGAGAGATTGGGGAGGGACAGATAGAGAATAGAGAGAGAGGAGATAGAGTGAGAGCGACAGAGAGATTGGGGAGGGACAGATAGAGAATAGAGAGAGAGTAGATAGAGTGAGAGCGATAGAGAGAGAAGGGGTGGGGGACAGATAGAGAATAGAGAGAGAGTAGATAGAGTGAGAGCGATAGAGAGAGGAGGGGTGGGGGGAACAGATAGAGAATAGAGAGAGAGAGAGGAGATAGAGTGAGAGCGATAGAGAAAGTAGGGGTGGGGGGGACATATAAAGAATAGAGAGAGAGTAGATAGAGTGAGAGCGACAGAGAGATGGGGGGGACTGATAGAGAATAGAGAGAGAGTAGATAGAGTGAGAGCGACAGAGAGATGGGGGGGACTGATAGAGAATAGAGAGAGAGGAGATAGAGTGAGAGCGATAGAGAGAGATAAGGGGGGGACAGATAGAGAGAGAAGAGATAGAGTGAGAGCGACAGAGAGAGATAGGGGGGAAAAGATAGAGGAGACCGCGGCCTTTCTTCCTTGCCCAAGGGAGAAAGGCCCCTCTCCCCCTGTCTAAAGTCTGCGACAAATGCCGCTGACAAATTGGGAAACAAATTGGAAGCCCCAGGTCAGATGAGTGCCTTACCTTCCGTCACTTAGTCGGGTAGCAGGAGTGAGTTGAGTCCCGGCTCCCGATGCCTTGTTGCAACATGTTACTTTTATGACAAAGCTCTGCATATCTGGGAGCCGAAGACAATAGTTGTCAAAAGAACACGTGGATGCGTCTGAAAGCTAAATCGATGGATTTAGCTTTCAGACGCATCCACGTTCAGTTTGGGCACCTCAACGGCGGTCTTGCGAGCTGTTGCAAGAAAGGGTGAGATCAGTGACAGAGAGCGAGACAGAGAGAACACTTTGTACTGGAGTGAAAAGCCTTGACATCATGGGCAGTGAAGCCCCAAGCTGAGTCCGGGCTGCTGCAAGAAAGTGCGAGATCAGAGACAGATAGCGAGACAGAGAGAACACTTTGTAGCGGAGTGGAAAGCCTTGACATCATGGGCAGTGAAGCCCCAAGCAGAGTCCGGCTGCTGCAAGAAAGGACGAGATCAGAGACAGACAGCGAGATAGAGAGAACACTTTGTAGTGGAGTGGAAAGCCTTGACATTATGGGCAAGTCCATCACCACCAGAGGAATCCTTGACATCTGGTAAAGAGATATTGACGACCATAGCTTCTGAAGTACTTCCTCCCGTCATCAATCTTCCCATCATCTGCTTTCTTCCCTTCGCCCTTACTGCCTGATAAGGGGCTACATATCCCAAGCAGAATACGTCGGTATGTGTGTGGCGGAGTAACCCAAGGATCTCTCTGGGCGAAAGCTTTGACTGATGTTGTTAGCGGTCAGGGCTGTCAGACAGTCACAAGTAATTCCAACATAGGAACTGAGTTGAGCAATCAAGGAAGTGCGCAAGGACCTTACACCACTAAGTGCTGGCCAACATTGGGTTTCTCAGCGCCTTGTATCATTAATCTAGTCCCTAGGAAAGCCCGGCGCTACGCGAACAAAAAAAAACCTCGCCCATGAAGTAAATCATCGCACCTACAATTTTAATAAAAAAAATCTATAAATTCTTTTTTTTTAGGAACGATTCATCCTTCCCGAACGCAGCATACAACTTTTCGTTGTAATGCGCTCTCCAAGTGTATTTATTTTCTTGCCATTAACAAGTTTTTGGAAGAAAACCTACTTGTGTCGGTTTCGGGAACAGGTACGCACTTGTTTAAGGTCGTTCGAGCTTTTCTTGGGAGTGTGGCATTAATTACTTCAACAATTCTTTTAATAATTTAACGGTTTCTCCAACAACATAGCCCCCACACCTAGCTCCGGCAGGAGGTCCTCCAGCATAATCATCCAACCACCTTTCTATATCATCTATGAAAATTCCAAATAGAGTAGTAGAGTAGTACAACCTTGGAGAACTCCAATGGTGCTCGAGATCTCTTGAGGCTGAGAGGCATCAATCTTAGCTCGAATTGAACTATACAAAGTGGCTATAGCTCTTAGTAGATTAGCCGGTACTCCAATGTTTTGTAGTCTTTCCCATAAAAGCTTATGAGTAACAGTATCAAAAGCTTTCTTCAAATTGATGAAGGTACAAACTAAAGCTTTACCATTGCCCTTGGATTTCTCACATAAAACATGTAAGGCCAAAATATGATCAATATTGTTGTATGTAGGACGAAAACCAGCTTGGACCTTTGCTCTCTTTTGAAAGTACTATGTCCATGTGCTCAACTTAGATTCTACCAACTTCCCAAACAACTTGGCAAAAACACTACCAACCATGATAGTGCCATAGTTTGTCACCACGTCATTCCTTCCTGATTTATGAATAGGAACAATCTTCCGCATGTACCAAGTTGATGGAAAACCATGGCTATAAATTTTATTATCTCAAATATATACCAAATAAGATCATGCTAAATAATTGAAGTTACTTCGAATCTGACTGTTTTTTCAATTTAACTTTATCACTTGTATAATACTTGAAAATTGTGGACTTAAAAAGTTCTAACCATTTAACAGTAAATTAATCCATATGTACTATCATACTTACCATACAATGTTTTACTGATCAATGCATGAAAAGGGAGTATTTCTAAAAGCAGAAATACTCCCTTTTCTTCCTTGTTCATTGTTCCCGGATTGCCACAAAAGCCCATAGCTGTGCATGGAACTCCAAGCACGGCTGTGGTTGGTTTAAGAAAAAATACAGCTCCTTATCTTTCTTTTCAATTGTGTGATGGATAGAACCAATCACCATCGTTTCCTACAAGTTAGAGAGTGGAGTTTATTAAATCTACTATTCATAGGCGGTTCAAAAGAGTTACATTTTAAAATCTTTGAAGATGGAATTTACAAGAAAGGGAAATATGTAAACTAATACCAATGTGAAATTGGTTGGATAGGTCTTCTAAACAAATGCAAGTGTTAGAAATTTAACTTATTCATATTTTTCCTCAACAACTTGTAACCATTATCATTGTTTTACATTGTAACCTAATCAAACACATGTAGCTTCCAATATATATTGAAGTACTTAAATTGGAGATGCATGGAGCGGGCAGAAAGATGGATGTCTTAAAAAAAATGAATACCTGTACATTTATGAGAATTAGGAATATTATTATTATGTTCAGTTGTCTGGAATTTGTGTACTATAATATCAAGCTATCTACTACGAAAAGGGGAGAAGAATAGAATTAAGATACACTATTTTTCCTTAGAACCCGCGATTTTACTTCTGTAGATGAGTTGCATGCATGCGATGTTGGAACTGCGTGTAAGAGCATGTTTTTACTGCCATAAAAACTGGCTCCTTATTATCCTTGGGAAGAATTCCTATTGGCCTTGGTTGGACCCTGCTTTGTATTGATGTTTGTCATTCCCATAGTGTTTATATCACTATAAGTCCTATCTATTATTTTCTTTAAAATAAAGTGGAAAGAACAGTCCTAGTTGTCTGGATTATCAACGTGGGAGACCAGAAGAGACCCTAGAGCTCTAGACCTATTTCGTTATGTACACACTAGTCTGTGGAAGTTTTAGTCATACACTTGTAACACTTCGAGGATTCGAACCTCATGACACCTATCATCTAGTAGATAGTGGAGATTGGCCCCGTATAAAGATGATTTCATTTTCTTTTAAGGTCGCAAGACATCTAAACAACATGAGTGCGATGTTTATATTAGCTTTGTTAAATCCATGGCATTGAGCAAAATTGTGAATACATCGTGGCATCTCTATCTTCTCATTAAACCCTCCAGAATGTGAAAGCTCTGAAACAGAATAAACTCCCCTGTTACCCGAGAATAATTATAGTCAACTTATTCTCACCGTCCTTTGAGGAGTGACGATGCTGCAAAATTTCTTGGATGTCATTTTCACCAAGACTAATTCTCACGCGATACTCGTGTGGGAGGCCCAACGGCAGTTAACTAGATGTCGCCAGAAACGTCCTTAGTCTGTAAGTCCGGACTTGATACTCGCACGTGGTCAAAGTATCTCGTGATTATTTTCCCTGAGACGTGTAGAGCCAAAAAGTTTTCCGGCCTCTACGGTTCGCAAAGCACTTTGGTCTGCTTTCGTTTTGTCGTCAACTGCAGACAAGCTTCCTCACTTGCATGACAATTCAAATTAGACTGAGACATGTTTCGAGCTCTAATATCATCGAAAACCTCCGGTTTGACTAAGGAGAGTCGACGGTTTGGCAAGGCGTTCCGGCGCCGTGGGGATGAATCTCATGTCTACATCGACTCGCGACTTCAAGGACCTCGTAAAACTCTGGTCATTTCCTTTCATGGCAATAAATTTCCTCCTAGGTGAGACCACTATATTTTTTCGGTTTAAAGCAAGCAACTACCAGGTGGAAATGACGTCGACAATTGGCGAAGTTTATGTTATATGCGAAAACAGATTCTAATGTACTCGAAAGATGCTACAATGTGCATTATGAGGGACAGACGCTTCAAGATTGTGCAACTGTATGTGCAAATCGCATTTTACTTGTGTAACGTTGTGACAGCAGCGAACTGTAGGCAAAACCAATCTCCGCGATCTGATCAACACATGATTCTACTTACATTCGCTCAAAGTACCATGGTAAGTTAAGCGAAAACTAAAATGAAACCGAGTCTCCTTGTTTATAGCCCAACGTCGATAAATGATGTACCAATTCAAAGATGGCCCGAACAGAACGCGCAGTACAGCATTTCACCCGGATGCGGGACTTAAAGTACAGTTGTCAGATTGCTGGTGAAAAATCTGTATCATCAGGACTTCAATTCGTAAACATCTGTGACAGGCACCGTTAGTTTGGCCACACTTCATATATTACTGTATAGTACTGTACTGAACTTCCCAACTCGCAAAGTTCATGTGCAGGTTTACCGGTAAGGTATGTCAGGCGATGCCTACCGACAGAAAGATGCCTGATGTAAAATCTTCAACAAACAGTCTATTCAGCATTTGTCCAGTACCAGGTGCGGCTAGGCAGGCGGCCATGATGTTCAAGATGGTGTCAGCCGTATATATTCTACAGAGCTTCCTATCTTTCCTAGTAGATATCTCATGGGAGCATAAGTACTGCGTGAGCTGAAATGGAAACGAAATCCATAAACAAGGAACTCGTCACGCAAAGGCAAACCACAATTCCTCACATGACCATACCGCCACAATTATCCTATTTGCTTTTATCAGAGGCGTACGGGAGCTACACAAGAGACTACATTCTCATTCCTAGATTCGGAATACAATGAAGACATTATACCTCTCTGATTCACCTTTTGAGAGTATGGACCTTCGCAATTGATACTAACTACAAAGAACGCAGCTCGTAGAAAATAGAAAACTTTGGACGATAATTCCTCAAGTGGCTGAACATGATTCAGGTGGAAACAGTCAACGAAGATAGAGCATTACCTCCAACGAAAAGTGTGTGCGCCATCCACAATATAAGCAATTTAACCATGCATATGAGTAACTTAGGAGAAACCTACTTATTGGCCTAAAAGGTATAACAGCCTCCGCAAGATGACGAAAGGAGCAAAAGCTAATGAATGGGACATACGGACATGGTATTAGAGTTCATCATTGATTGGTACATGAACTTCCACGGGAGTCGTTTCGTATATGGGTACATGAGTTGAGTAGATAGGAGGAGACGTAGTTCGTAGCGCTTTCCAGATCCCCAACCGTTTGAGAAAGATGTAGTTGCAGACGAGTAGAAAAACAACAATGCCCACCACCAGTATGGCCCTACAAGCATGAATAGCACAATTTAGGACAGAAATTACGCCTAGCTGGATAAGCCATGACTACGAGTTATTTAACCCAAGGAGTAACTGGAGTTGGTAAACTTAAGCACTTCAAAATTTGAGACTTCATTCAACGTATCAAACATGAACGAGATACGCTATTTGAAGCAAACAACTAGGTCTAGATCGCCTTAATTATGGGTGTAGTTGGACCTTTTAGCTCATCGAATGCCTGAATCACAACTCGAGATCCCCAACATAAAACATTTCATTTGGACAACAAAAACGTGGGAATGCCTAAGGCCGGTGACGGCTAATCTACTTAGGGGGTGACACCTATCTTTTTGGGGCGATGGGGACAATGAAACTAGCCGCAAGCTCAGGCACAAGCGTAAGAAGATCAAGACGCCTATCAGTTGAAGGTTCAATGTCCATTTTTCCATCTATTAAGACCATCTTTGGAACTAGCTTTCATAAATAGTTCATACCTATCAATAAGATCTGATCTGCTCATTGTAGAAAGCAGGCGTCTGGTACTGTTCAGTATTGAGCGAGCTCCAAAATATTCTTCCTTGGCATCACGCAAAGTGATATTGGATTGATCTACAAGTCAAACAAATTACAATATCAGCCGAACGCTGAAACAGCTATGTGATGATGACGTCCGGCTACAGGAGTTTCAGTCTCCATACCACAAACACGTTCAAAACGTCGGCTTTAACTTAACTTCAAAGCTTGTATTTCGGACTACTTCTATCGCAGACAATGGAGGTCAAACAGAAGAAACGCTTGGACCATATACGTGAACCATGAAAGTGGCAGAGAGGTCAATGCTCTTCCTTGCCATGTAATATGTCAATGTGTAGAAAGCAATTAGAATTGCTTGAATCAAAATCTTCATGTGAATCAAAACAACAAATTCTAGACGTAATCCTTATTGACTTTCAAGTCATTCTAAGTTATGAAACGACAGATCAACGTTTGCCGTGCATAACATTTAAGAATCTAGATACACATATATGTACATACCTAGAGTCTGTATGGTGTTCACACTCCTCTCTACTTCCTGCGCTTCAACAGAAAAATGTTCAATAATTCGTACAACCAGCACTAATTCAACAGCTCGTGTTGCTCAAAGGCAAAGCTTCGCGTGAGTAAAATTATTTGCACGTGTGCCTGACGACATTCCTTCTCTATCAAAAGCTCGATATGTCTTCTGACTGAAAGAGAAATAGAATCTATATCTCCTCAAGATCACTTTTACCAGAGTGAATCAAGTCCTTAAAAGAGTCGGGTATTCGTGCTACACAGTTTACAACTGTGCGCTTAACACTATAAAGGACTTGCATCTTCAAAAATTTAGCAAACTTTGAATGGATTGAAGGAGCAGATTGCAAACTGTAAGCAAGAGACAACCTGAACCATCATCTGACGAGTTCGACGCAGTCCATCTGTAATGCTCTCTGCTCCGGCGACCATCCCCGCTTGAGTTCTCCAATAAACAATTGGAAAGTATCCAGTCAGCATCTGAGAATAGCCTAGCCAAAAGAATTATCTCGTACTTTGGATAAATTCTTCATGAGAATAAGAAAAAAACTTGGCGAAAGTCAAACGGGTGAGAACCAAATAATGTTCGTAGCAGGCACTATACTGAGGCATTTTTTAACAAGAAGTTTTACAAAAATGAATTACTGGAGAATACGCCGCCGAGTGGTCGCTTCTTCCCCTCCTGACAATAAAAGCTCCCTCTGCGTACGCGACAATCAAGCAAAGCTCAACTGTCGGCAAAGAGTATCAACGGGAAAAAAGGAATCCCCTTCTTGTCTTGCAATCTGGCACAACTTTTCCCACTCTGTCCTCGTGAACACACTAGCAAGAGCTATATCACATACTGAAAAGGTATATCTCAAAGAGCTACTTAGGATACGACTTTTGAGCATGTCACAGAATTCTAGGATGTACAGGTACCCATTTATTGAAATTTCTCTAGCGGTAACCAGGCATGCAAGGATGATGCATGCAGAATAGAATAGAGAAACGAGAATCTACCTTGAACCAGCCGTATGCAATTTCAAAATGCAAATGTCTCATGTAACTCCACTTGTCACAGGTAACCACTTACTTCTCGTTTGGCAGCTCTTTCGATATTCAACTTTGCATTCCTGTTCGCATTTCTGAGACTCAACCGGAGTCTGCATAAGAAGCATGTTTCCTTAGAAGATAGCCATATATGACCTGACATTCATGACTCCATTTTACACCATTCCGCAAGTAGGAAACTAAAATCGCTCATGCAAAATGGAGACATTAAAGATTCACGGAGTAAATATCACTCTGCAAGTCCCTCCTCATACTGCAGCTGTGTTCGATGACTCAGGAAATGACGCCATACTCATTCAGTTGTTTCTTCCATTCATCGAGCTTTTGGACGCAAGCTTCGCCCATATCTTCGCTGCGCACCAAGCATGAGCCGAAGTTTGAACAATTAGACGAAGTCTGTACGGTGTTTATCAGAAAGCGAACATGTTGATAATAGTAAGTCAAAACTCATCCCTATAGAATAAGCCCCAGTCAGCTCCAAATCAAGCAACTGTTTCTGAAAACCGACTAGAAAGGACTTCACTCTGACCACTCGTTGAATTATTAAGGGCGAAACTACTTTATCTTTCAAAGTCTTCATTGTGAGACAACCACAAATATCAGGCAAGAGTATTTGCAGATCACAAGCTTCTTTCGACCACAATCTTTTTAATTTGCTGGAAGGAGACTTCTCCTGGCTACAACCCCGGCTTGATAAGTCGTGTTTAACATTCCTTTGTCCAGTTCAATCAATTTAAGTCGTCGACTCCATTGGCGTATCTGTGAGAATACAATTCATTGATTTCAAGGGGAGTTTCGTGGACACTCTTTTCCATAGATGGAAGTCCGACATCATGTATATCATGGTCAACCAGATCCTTGATCTCCTCAGTAGTTTTCTACGTTTCCAGCTTGATATCTCTTCTATTGTTCTCACTTACCATCAGGTTCAGAGCAGACGATTGCTATAATGGCGGCTGGATGAAATTTACCTCGGATGCTGTTGGGATATCAGGTCCATGCGCAAAAGAAGGGACTGCAACGTGGTGAAACGATCTTGAACGGCAGCATTTAGCTGGGGCAAAGCGCCTTTGGCCGAAAGGCCCCCAACAGATCCACATGTTTCCACCGCTTGGATCTTCTCTATCAGATCGGAGGAAGTCTTTTCCCACTGGTTTCGAACAAGCTCAGCCGCTTCTTCTACATCTTGATCCATATTTCAAATCCAAGCTTGAATATCAATCAATCTGCAAGAAACCCAGCCCATTATTGCTGAGCTAGTCGATCTTTTAAAAATGAAATCGAAAATGAAAATGAAACCTTTGGCATCGACAACCTACTATAAGAGAAAGCATAAGGAGAAACACGGCTTGATAAACTGCGTTAAGTTGTGGGCAGACCAAAGAATTAAAATTTTGTCTTTGGTTCCAGCAGCGAGCAGAGGCTGCACAACAGACAGTCTACCGTTTTTTATGGAAGTTTTGCTCTCCAATTTTAGGAAGCATGCTAGGAAATTAGCTCGAGTGCCCGATCGTTCTAGGGATTGCAATCTAAAGAGGCGATGTACTTGAAGGAACAGATAATCCACTGCCAGTCGCTGATGTATTCAAGAAGGCAAAAGGCATTCGGATGACTCGAACAATATGGGCGTAACTTCAAAAACCATGCTACAGGCAAATTCGACAACCGGTCTTTCCTTGATATGGAGATCAGGCTAAATTGCTACCACCCATGGTCTGATTTTCTAGCGTCTCAAGCCGCAAGAATGTGAACTCATTCGACAGCGCACGTGGTCAAGCTTTCAGCTGTCCATGCTTCAATCACAGAATGCAGGAACTAGACCTATCAAGAGACCGCAAAAGGCTGCAAGGCTGTGTATTTGCTTCAATACTTGGACTACCCGTTCACTAATCAGAAGTCAAAAGTAGGGACAATAAAGTGAGAGGAACATTAAATTGTAGAATGAAGGCACAGAGGAAGACAGGAAGAACTCAGTCCCGACACGAGATAGCTTGAATAGCATCGAATTGACAAACAAGAATGAAATACGTAACAAAGTGAATTTAGAGAGGGATAAAGACAGATCACATTCGATGGGAGGCGAGAGAGAAGAACCTGTTGCAACACCCTCGAGGCTTCCGAAAGGAGAATCATTGCGCTCTCGAACTTGACTTTCTTCTAGTGACAGCTCTACTTGTCAAATTTGAAAGGTCCTATATATGATGCAAGGTGTACACCTTATCCTAGCTGACATTATCTCGCTTGTAACGAAATTCCTGCAGGAACTAAATTCGGACTAAACTGACAGGACAATCTGCTTAGAGACAGTAGAGCCCTGAAGGATTTCAAAAAACTCTACCAGAGGCCGAGGCATAACTCATACCGGTCTGCTATGTAGAATACTAGTCCGACAAAAACCGTGACTTGAACTTAAATCTATCACTACCAAGATGTGCATGCTATTACTCGGTCGGCTGTTTTGAATTGCATTTTATCACTTTTAACACTAGAAGTTAAGAGATAGGCTCATTCAAAGGATTAAACACTATCTTTAAAGTGAGAAATATCTAGATTGGTTATCGTCTCCATAAATATATTTTATTAAAAAGTACAAAAATATAAGTGTTCAACTTCCATCATTCATTATATTTCAAGAGTGTACATGTGACAATTCTAAGTAACACACAAATTGTTGATGTATTGTTGATAATTAATACATTTATTTACCAAGCACACTGCAGCTAACTGCCGATTATAGATTATTCACAATAATGTAATTATATTTCCATCTTGATTAGACTATTCACTTAGATTTTTGATTTATCAATGGTATATTAGTTAAATTTATAGTTTTTTTTCATGTTGATTCATATGATGTATATATTTTCTATTAAATCAAATATAATATTTTGAAATATGTATGACATGAAATCCATTTCTTGAGTAATTTGTTTAGCTCAATTTTTTCATGATCAATTTTTAAGATTGAGAATAAAGTTGCTATTGGTTAGTTGGTAAATTAACCAACATCATCTTTTGATCACTTTATATGTTATTGGATCGTGATACATGAAATACATTATGTATTTTCATATGGCAAGGTGAGAGAAGTGTAGCATGTGGTGGATGTCTATTTTGGCTCGTATGGAATACTACATACGTGATGAAAGCTCTCTTGATATTTGATTTGCGAGAGTAAAAGTGGAAGGCCCGTTTAGAGAAAGTTGAGAAGTGCAAGCGAGAGATTGAGATTGAGAAAAATGGTTGCTACTGGTAAGTTAAACAACATCATCTTTTGATTGCTATACATGTTTTTTGATCGTGATACAATGTTTGTCAAGAATCTAGTGCAATCTGCAGTAAGTGAGTCTTGTGACATTTACTGGACCCCATGAGCAGCTCCATCACTACGAATAGAAAGGAGTCAGTGTTGTGTCACCTCGTGAGTAACAGATACGGCCTCCACTTTTCCTACATCTCTCATCATGGACATGTTTTTTGATCGTGATACATGAAATACATTATGTATTTTTATATGTGACGTAAGTTTCAACTTGCATAACATTTAATTAAAACGTTTTAATATCACAAAATTATTATGAATTTAGGATTAAACTTTGATGTTTCTACAAGAGATAAATTTTTCTAGATAATCAAATATGATTCACTACTTGAAAAATCAACTTTCTACAATGAGCATTTACATGTTACATTTATACCCAAAACTAATGACACACCTAGCTATAAATAGCTATAACCTGAGGTTACTCCTTAACCGAAATTAAATTCAACAATTGTTATTCAAAGGTGAATGTTCTTAACACATTCTCTACAGTTTTTTCTAACTAACCATTAGTTTGAACATGATAAGCACTTGATATAGCTTAATTTTTTTGGAAAAAGTAAACCATTTTCTTTCAAAATAAACAAGTGAACAATCTTATTCATTACATTAATTATTAAGATTTTGCTTAATACATGATTTATTAACTTTGCATCTAGATACAATTAAGCAAGTTGTGAAGCTTTCACTGTTATATGGTTGCTCTTATGTTAATCATCTTGCTAAAATTACCCACAAAAACCTCTATTCAATCATTTTCTAATGAAGTATTCTTATAGATCATAGCTGAGATCATATTAAGATGTTCACACCGTTATTATGGAATGGGAAGAGATTGTAATAAACAAATTTGTTGACAAACTACACATCTTTAATCACAAAGATTCACATACTTTCATATATTAGACCAATTATACCCATGTTGTATGCTCTCCAAGTTATTATTACTTCCACATGAACTACAATGATTGTATCACGACTTTCTAATAAATTCATTATGTGTAACTCTTGATCTTGAAAAATCTATATGAATTGTTTATGAAACTTCTAACATAAAGCTTTATATGCATTTACAACTTATAGTGTTCTCATGAATTTTTCATCTTTCTTTGTGAAATATGTCATTTTGTTCCAACGATTAGTTTGAATCTTCACTTTTGCAAAATGATTGAGACATGACTTGTGTGTGAAAACATCAACAACTTGTTCTTTTGCTCTCCACATACACAATTTTTATGTCAAAACGTTGATATTAGTTAGTATTATAATTGTATAGAGTTTAGAATTTGAGTCATAGGGTTAGAGTTTTCAACTTATGAGATTAGAAGTACAATCGATGAAACTAGTTAGACTATTTAACATGACAAGGAGACTTGTCATTTGAAAATATTATGCTACTAGGCAGGTTTTGCATGAGGAACATAAATAGAATTGACTTGCAAGATTTTGTTTATTTGCCTGTTTTCATTTTATCATGTTTTGGCTATGATTTGATTATAGTTAATTCTAATTTAAAAAGTTAGCTATGTTAGATTTCTCTCTAAAATTTTGTGGAGATTATTACTAATTACATTATTATTCACTTTTTTCATGTTTATATATAGCTCATAGATATTTTATATAATCTTTATGCTTTTATGAATTCATCAAACCTTGCATTTCACCACATAGCACAGTAGCTTGTTTAAATCTATACAATGATTTAAATAATTTACATATCAACTTTTCTTAAACTTTATTATTTATGTTATTGTTTCCACAATATGAATTAAAGGGAAAATTGTTAGTGATAATTTAAGTCAAAGGTTAACTCTAGCTAGTTTAATCTTGATTTATGGTTTATTCTAAGTCTAGTAATTTCTGTTACAAACTATATAGGAGGCCAAGAGGTAACTTGACTCAAATAATACTTTAAATGTTTCAATAAAACCTCATATTTCAAGGTAGATCTAAAAAGGTGAACCACATATATTCTCGACAGTGCATAATTTTTTGTGTTTTTTGTTAGACCCATTATACATTAAAAAAATACACAAACGTTCTTCATGTGAAAAATATATTAATGTGGATCCACAAATACGAAAGTGAGGATGTACCTCACTTTCGCCAAGTATTTGTGGATCCACATTAATGCACAAAGAGGAGAGAAAGATTACCGTTTACAAACACTTTTGTAAGCCTTTCCTTTGAACTTTCTTCATTCGTCAATATGTTAAAGTCAACATGTACTCACTATACTATCATAAATCCTCAAACCTGAAATTGACAACGAATGGATATAGAATCACTTTGTGAGCTTTAAAGATCAAAGTGTACATGTTGCACATGACATTATGTGTTTTGAAGTAACATTTGTTGAGGGTAGATGACATAAGTCGGAATAAGGAAAGATTGTGGTCCTGACCCGCCTTTCCTTGGGTTTGATATGGACCCTTTTCTACTGAGATCATACTATGTTTATCATGGGTATAGATGACTTTGGTATTCGAACATAAGCATTTCATATTTGAACATCAATTTTTAACCGAGATGCAATTGGATATAATCAACACAATTTTCAGTTATGAGTTTGAACTCTTCTCTTTAGTAGGCCTAGATAGATGCCACAATGAACGAAAGTAAATGGGTACAAATTTGTTACTGAAGAAGTGCAGTGATTGGTAAGATCGATGTGTTCTTAGAGAAAGTTTTCAAGTTCTTTACAAAAGCAAGTTATTTAAGTTCTTGGAGAAAGAAAGTTCTTTAAGTTCTTTTAATTTTTCTAAGTGCATTTACACATCCACGCTTATTTCTGGCTTATAAAGCGCTGTTCAAAGAAGAGTAACGCATCGTATTGACAGTGTGGTGAATAACAGAACTTACTGCTCGAAGTGGTTTGGACTAAATGGCCCTTAAAAAGATTGTCCACTCGCCATCCGGTTCAAAACTTTCGTGCTATCTTTAATTATTTGTTACAGAAGAGCTTATATCATATCACGGGGGTTTATGGAAGAAAGATTGCTATTACAAGTGGGAAGAACTCCAGCGTCGTGGTTCAGGTAAGTGAAATTTGCTTAAATTTTCTCTGCTTGCTCTGAATTTGTTTCACCTTTGAGATCTTGCTTTTGGTTCAACATCTATCTACAATGACAATTTTGATCAAGGAGATGGTGTGGAAGAAATCCTTAGAGAGTCAAATCTATAGAACTCGAAGTGAGATGGACACCGGGTTATCTCATGATACATCAGAAGACCGTGGATTATCGTGCCTTCGCAAGTACGCTAGTGTGCATGCGCATGCATTCTAAAGAACGCATGTATGCAACATGTTGCAGGAACAAGAACCAAATGTTCCGACCGTCGACGATGGAAAGCGGAGAAAGCACAGGGAGACTTGAAGCCGAAGAGAAGTGGAAGACGAGGACATAAAGGAAGACGTTCACAAAAAGCGGGGGCATAATTACATTACCGTACGCAGTCTGGGAGTATTATTAGCAAATGTCGAGCACAGTAGATGGAGGGAAGCGGACTGTGTCCAAACTGGGCGGCCCGCTTCACGCAAGACGATCATGCGGTGGATGGGCTAGAACGAGGAGAGGCGCGGCGGCAGGAGAGAGAGGCGAGATACAGACGGAGATGTGAGAATGAGTTAAACCAAAGATCGAACCAACCAAACCTTGAACTTGAACCATCGATCTGATCGGGGTCCGTGGGTTGGGACCGAGGGGGAGGTGTGGAGGACGAAACAACCGCACATGGATGGCAGAAACATGGCAGAAAATTGTTTCAACAGTGGAGGAGGAGATGCGAAAGTGAGAGAAAGTATTTAATGGTAGGGGCATTTTCTCTAATTGGTGAGGAGGAGGGGTCTCCAAGAAGGAGGGGACGAGAAGCGTAGTCAGAGAGTCGAGAGTGCCTCTCCATTGGAATGAGGGCACTTTGGCACGCATGCACCAAAGGAGGAGGAAAAGGTGCTTTGCCTGAGGAGAAAAACAAGCTTCTCCCGCTGCAACAACCACAGCTCCAGCACCAGCTGTCGCAGCAGCAGCTCCTGGTTGCTCCCACTTCTCTGGTCAAGGTCGAGAGCGCAATGATTCTACTTCCGGGAGCCTCGAGGGTGTTGCAACAGGTTCTTCTCTCTCGCCTCCGATCGTATGTGATCTGTCCTTTTCCCTCCCTAATTTCACTTTGTTACGTTTTTCATTCTTGTTTGTCAATTCGATGCTAATCAAGCTATCTCGTGTTGGGACTGAGTTCTTCCTGTCTTCCTCTGTGCCTTTAATCCACACTTAAATGTTCCTCTCACTTTATTGTGACTAATTTTGACTTCTGATTAGTGAACGGGTAGTCCAAGGATTGAAGCAATGACACAGCCTTGCAAAATTTTGTGGTCTCTTGAGAGGCTTGGTTCCTGCATTCTGTGATTGAAGCATGGACAGTTGCAAGCTTGACCACGTGCGCTATCGAACGAGTCCACATCCTTGCGGCTTGAGACGCTAGAAGAGCAGGCCATGGGTGGTAGCAATTTAGCCTGATCTTTATGCGGCATGTTCAAGGAATGACCGGTTCTCGAATGTCCCTGTAGCATGGTTCCTGAAGCTACGCCCAACTTGTTCGAGTCATCCGAATGCCTTTTGCCTTCTTGAATACATCAGTGATTGTCAGTGAATTATCTGTTCCTTCAAGTACATCCCCTCTTTAGATTGCAATCCCTAGAACTATCGGGCACTCGAGCTAATATCCTAGCAAGCTTTCTAAATTTGGAGAGGAAAACTTCCAGAAAAAACGATAGATTGTCTGTTGTGCAGTCTCTGTTTGCTCCTGGATCCAAAGACAAAATTTTAATTCTTTGGTCTCCCCACAACTTTACGCCGTTTATGAAGCCATGTTTCTCTTTATGGCCTCTCTCATAGTCATATATTCTCTTAGGAAAGAATGGGTACTCAATTCTGGACCAGTGGGTAGAGTGAGCGAGTGTGAATTAATTTTTTGTCATGGATGCCAATATGGAAAACTTAAGGTTGTACTGTGCTTCAGATCCTGGAGACGGTTAGATTCATATCAATCTTAAAACATATTCTTCCTGGTTAGTGTAAATGTTCTTTTCTTGGCGTCAAGGCCTACGATGTGCATCCCATAAAAATCTACTCGAACTGTGTCAATGTACAAGTTTTAATTATCATTGTGTCTGTCTTCGTCTTATTGCCGCAGTTGTATTTTGGTATGATGGATAGATGTGCCAACTTGTTTTTTTGTCTCTGTGTAGTACAGAGAAGCCCTTGGAGGTGGACTTCCATTTGACGGAGTTTGATGATGTTCGCTACCATATTAAGGTCCGATATCTCAACCCTGTTTTTTCCGCATTTGTTCATGTGCCCTTAATGAGGTCCTTCATTTATCTGCCTTAAGTTTCAGGGTCCGTTAAGAGGTAAAATTTGACATACATATTTTTATTTATTCTGCCCGTTGCATTGGAAATTTCTACTCGATATTGCTCTATCAATTTGTTAGAGTCAGTTTAGATTACGGATGCTTGTATGTAGAGAATCAGCAAAATCTGTTCCGTAGGTTCAGATATTCAGCTGTTGATTCTAGAGACTGGTCTCTGATACTAAGAACCTGTAAAATCATTGTGCTTTCCTGACAACCCACTCTATTCGAGTATTGTGAACTAAAGTGGCTGCCTGCAGGCATCAGCGAAGGAGCCGAAGCAAGTCCTTCTTTCGATCTCTCTTCCACAGTCACCTCCAGAGACTGTTCTGTCCGCGGGCCTACCTTTTGGCGCTATAGAAGCTGTCAAAGGAGCATTCGGGTCTGTGTCACAAGTGGTGGACCCACCTGAAAACGATTATCATCTTACTTTGAACGTGGACGTGGGGAGCTTTCCTACTGATGAAGGTATGAGCCAATAAGAAGATATATTGTCCTGCTTGGAAGTAGTTGAGTACAATTTTCTGCACCAGATCAAACCCAAACTTGGTTTTTCTCATTTCACATTGTCGTACAACATTAATACGCATTGGTCGTCATCGAGATGTAGGTGTTACTCAAAATGTCTTGATAACAATCGCTTTCAGCTTGTTGAACCGTCTTTCGAAGCCCCCGGACAGGTCCATGGTGAATAGTGAATGAAGGAGATGCGCTATGTTTTCCCATCCTGCTGGACCTTATAATGTAGACCATGTGCTGACATTCTTCCGGTTTGTTATTCCTAGCGCATCAGAAAAGCTATTCGATGTCTCTGTCCTGTTCTTTATTGATTGACTGGTCCAATGCATGGGGTTACGCCTGTGGTAGACAATCCTTATGGTCGTACATTCCGTGTCTGAACTTCGGTCTCCTTGCATGTTGAGGCCTTGCGGGTGATCATGTGTTACTTCAAACGTTCACGCAATGCACCCATTTGTGTAATCTAGTCTTTCTTTACAGTTAGTTTCTTTTGATTTAGGTTGTTATATTAGGGACATCATTAGTTACCGTTCTAGTGCTCTTGGCACTAGCTAGGGATTGATCTTTGGGGTCTTTTCCCTTGTTTGTGGTTTTTCGCTTGTATTGTGTTTTTCGGCCTTTTGACCCTTTGAGTCCCCCGGGCTTTATCTATTACCATTTACCATTTACTTTGCTTTGTTCACACACTTGATGCTAGAGTTTAGGGTCTCTCCGATTAGATATGTCATTCTCTTCGCTCAGTCCTTCCAACTCGGTTACTATTAAGACCTCTCAGCCAGGTCGTGGGATATATGCTCTTCTTGCTATGACCGGCAAATACGTTTGAGTACCCTTCGATATGTCATTTCAGGCTTTTTTCTTAACACAGCTCGATCATGTACTTATTTTGAGGCGTTACGTTTGTAACGCCAAACGATTGATGCAGATTTCAAAATGTATGTCTTGGATCATGTCCATGAAGATCTGTATGCTGATGGTATTCAGCTCGTCCAAGTGTTGCCGTCTAGTCTATAGATAGATTCTAGTTTTGTTTATACCACGGTAATTATATGATTCCTCGTGTTAAGAACGCTCGTCGTCTGTTTCTTTACTGGACTTTGTAAAGATGTGTGGAGTCATGCGCATTGTATTTGGTGTGGAATACTGGCTTTCATTACTGATTCTAGATTGCCAATTAGATTCATGGAGGCATTTTTATCTTCTCTGACAATAACAAACTTTGTGGAAAGTTTTGTGTCACAGAAAGCGGGCTTCCATTATCTTACACACTGCGTTTCTGTCAACATTTTTCATGATTTTATTTTGGATATATTTTTCATGATATTCTTTTCCCTTACTGCCCTACTGTAGCCCCTGTTTGTGCTACTGGACAATATGTCCTCGCGCTCTGACGAGTTTCCACTGAGCATGAGGCATCACAGCAGTTATTTGCGCACAATCCCTAGCCGGGCATTCTTCTAGAGGCACATACGAAGAGATTTGTACGTATATTTTTGCATCCAGATCGTCCCACTTACTTCTTTTGCATTATATCATCGACAGGCACGTGCAAGTCTATTTGCAGGAATCGACTCTGTGTGTTGTCTTATTGACCTTGTTTCACCTATCTGTTTCACATATAGATACCTCTAATACCCGGTGATTTTGGTTTACCTCTACAGTTATCACCCTTAGTATGTAGCTCGCTCATCGTCAAAGTGCACTATGTTTTATGCCGTACTGTTTCTACTTGTGCTGAATACTAGTTTTTCACCTGCCATAAATCATTTCACACGAGCTGGCCTAGTTGTAGGCTTACTCTGGTAACAGTCTACTTTGCGTTGACAATATTGTCTGATTGTGGCTTGATTGCTTTTATAACGTTAAGTTTTACAGACAGCCTATAAGAACAAATGGTGTATATAGTCCATACTCTTCAGTTCGGTTACGTTCTCCTTGCTGGGATGTTTTTGGTTGTTGCAAAAGGATTTTGGGGCCAAACGCTTGATAGCGCAGTACATATCGTATGCTCGTTCTGGTCTGAGTAACTTACATTAACGAGCAGATTACGAAGGAAGTTTTATACGCAAAGTGAAGTATTAGTGATGTCTCATTGCTTATTGTTCGTTGGTGTCAAACCGTGGGCGAATTGTTGAGCTGCACGTTTCGAACGTTATGTGCATCGTCTTCACAATTTTCAACGCAACATACACTCTACCTAGTTAATGCGGGCAGCAGTTTAAGCGCAGCTTATGTCCTGACTGTTACTGTCGTTTCGAAAGATCAAATATCTGAAGTGTGATGTTTAGATGATACATTCATGTGGATGACGTAGATAAAAAGCCTAGATAATCTCTATAACTGTTTAACACTACATCCGTACATATGTGACATATGTACGGATGTTGTTTTAAACAGTTATGGGACATATGATATGTCCCATTTCCACAGTTAATAGCAAATCTCAGCTGTTACAGATGATATACCTGGCTCATTCTTTTTTATCAAGTAACATCCAAATTTACCCGGGATTTTGTTATGTTTGAACGAAGAATTTATCGTTCTTTCAACATCCCTTGCTTACACACCGGATCAAGAACTCGATCCAAAGGATGAAAAGTAGCCAATTCATCTAATGCCATGTAACGAGCTCAACCAGAAACTTATTTTCGGTTACGCGGTTCGTTCGGCATTCTCGGAATAAATTTTCCACTAGCCAGGTGAAATTGCCACTAATCCATGAAGTTGTTGATTCGTTTAAGGTCTCGCGGATCAACTCATCACGAAGCTTGCATCTCTGCGCTCTGTTGTTCTTGGAGCACCATTAAGAGAGATATTAAAGCATCTGGCCACCAAGACAGTTGCTCCAGATGCCGATCGCCTTGTGGCTCTTATGCACAGGCCAAGGGAGTCATATTTTGTTATACCCCAGGTGAGGATGGTTGCTTGCACGTGGAATCCCGGCTAAAATCTAAATACTCCAAGTTTCAGATGCAAATGAGTTACGTCTTTTTGCGTTTAGTGGTTAGTCTGGAAGACGGTCTACCCTGGCCCATACGGTAGATTGTCTTTTAAATATTTCTATGTTATTATCCATGTTATTATCATATATTCGACGTCTTTCACCTGCTATGTGCACTTGATTGAGCTACTTGAGTTTCGTGCAGGCTGAGAAAGTAACTGTCGTCTTTCCTATGCGGTTCAAAGACAGTAATGACGTTATTTTGGGCACCTCCTTTCTGCAGGTGATTTTTTATCACACTTAGGTTTATATTGCTCTGCTGAAGATGGGCATCAGTATTTTGACTTAATAAATCAATCCACTCCATAATTTTCGGGTCCGAAGGCAAGGGATCATTTCAAATGCTTTTCAGAGTTATATTGCATGTCATGCGTTACGGTTAGCCTCGCTGTCCCATTTGTTTCGTTCACATCTGACGGAATTTTTATATCTGTGTTGAATTTTATTCTCTGTTAGTTGTTTTCATCCTGCGTATACAAATTCCAATTCTATTCACTTTGTACTGAAACTTAGTGCTGTAGGCATTTTGAGTCAATGGGAAGGGTGAAAGCCAAGGATATTCAATGTTTGGAAATGTAGCCGATTCCATAATTTTGTCGCTGCCTCTTATTTTCATGTCATTTGACTGACTTGTACATGGTTGTAATCTGGAGCTTGTCGATGATTTGCTATCTATCGAAATCTTCTTGAGTCGCTGTTCTGTTCAAAATACTGCTTGTCATGCAGTGCTAGTTATAAGTCAGGTTCGATCTATTGGCGTTGTAGTGCTCTTTCAGTTGATATGTATTTACTTTTTTCCGGTGAAACTGTAGGAATTCATGGAAGCAAGACGGTCGCCAGGCCTGAGTACAGCACCCCCCTGTGTCTGGTCACCTAGTCCTCCTCTAGAACTTAAAGGAGCACCTGGACAAGCACTTGATGCCAACGCTGGTTTTGTCTCTTTTGGTACGATAATCAAAAGCCTTCTAATTGTGGACATAAGTTTTTATTGTTTTCAAGTCAAGGGCCATTTAATGTGGCCTATCTGTGTTGAAAGTTGACTTGGAAGTTTTTCCTGGGACTATTTAAATGCCGAATGACCATTCCAGAATTTTATATTTGTATCCTCAGTTATCTATTGAAATATACTAATATTAAATAACTATCGATTTGATGTTAGATTCCCCTACGACCAGTTTCTTATGTCAGGTTGAACTTTTGATTTCTTGTGATAGTTATATTCCCTCGGCATGTGGAAGGCGATAAGTTGGACAAATCAGTCTGGATCTTATCCACGTTTTACGCCTACGTCAGTTATCACATCAAGGTATATCTCTGTGAGTAATGTTTGACAAGAAGCTCTTTGTGTGAGCTGAGCAATCGAAGAGAAGAAGTGTTAGCTGATTGAGCTGAATAGCAGCGGAGTACTGTTTACTTCTACGTCGCCCCTTGATTTTTGCGTGAGGACAGTTTTTCATTTTTAGCATTCAGTAACAAGAGCACAGAGTAAGCTGATTTCTTTTTCCATTTAAGATATTGTATTACAGTTAATTTAGTTTGATAGTGGTTTTGTTCGCGTTGTCTGGTTGCGTGCCTGCAGTGCTCAAAGGCTTTCATGCATACCAGGATGCGAAGGCGAGTGGAGACACTTATACAGGTGAGAAAAAAGTTCGATTAGTCCGATTACTCCGAGAGAGAGCTACGTCTTTTAGTTCCATCATTTGATAACCTGCATTCGTCTTAATAAGCTCAATACTGTACGTGCAGGTCCTGAATCGAGCAAAGCCTGAAGTTGAGAAGGAGAAGAAGAGTATGTCTGGAAGAAGCTTTAAACGTGCAGTATAACTGTACAACTTTATTGTGCCTTAAGCTTCTGAAAGCTACGAATATTAACTTGATCGGGCTCTGCAAATTACTGATTACAATTCATGTATTATGAGTCGTCCATTTGTTTTTCCAGGCAAAAACGCCCATGAAAAGATACTAAGGAGCAGGGAGTTCGGTGGGTCCTAAGCTGTAGCGAATCTAGTCCTGTCCCGTATCAATATTAATCAATGGCGGAAGGAGACTTCCATAGTAGGAGTAGAAAGTTTTGAAATGTACAAGAGGCTTTGTGAGAATTGATGGGAGCAACTTACTGACAAATTTTCTCAGACTGTGAATACTGAGCAACTACCATCCTCCAACGTGCGATCCCGCGTCTTGATTTTCCTCTTCTGTACACCTGTAAGTTTGTGTGTAAAGACCTTGGACTTTGGGTATATTCTATATTCTTGACTTCGACGCAGCAGGACTGAAAAGCCTCTCACCAACTTTCACTTCAATCTTGTGTGACGAAGACGGATCGAGACGACACTAGTCTGTCAGTGTCGAATATTTGAGTTTTGTAGGTCTCTCAAGAGGGCTTTCTGGCGGGCCAATAATTAGATCTCACCCCCTTTCATGATAAATTGCCTCTGGATCTGCGTTTTTTTTCTCTTGTCTGTGTAATATACTATTCCAGCTAGAATGATACATACCAGCTTGACGAGAGTAACTCGAAGACTTTTGTAATTTTGTTTTAACTCGTTGGACTCGGTTGCGTGTAAGTTTAGTTGTAACAGCTGAGGACTAAGCTGGAAGATTTGCAAAGCCTTCCAGTACATGTGTAGACGGGATTGCAGCGCGTATTGATCTTCGTAAAGAGTGATATGTTATGATTTGACGGGTCTGTACATACATCACAGCTTGTATGCTCAATTTTGTCGAATAGAAGTCATGGTTTTAGACGTGTATATGGTGCCGCATGAACTTGAACGAGAACTTAGAACAGATGAGCTCTTTGTAAATCTATGATGTGATAATCCTTCTAATTCGAGTTCCCGGTTGGTCCCTTGAACGAGAACTTAGAACAGATGAGCTCTTTGTAAATCTATGATGTGATCTTCCTTCTAATTCGAGTTCCCGGTTGGTCCGATGAAACGCGCTCTTCTTATGGACCAATATGACCTGTCTGGTGAGACATAAGCATTGTGCTTGTTTCCTACGTCATTTCTAGACAGGTATATGTAATAATGACTTTTCACGTTTGATCAGACTTTACCAGTGAAGCTGAAGTTTCCGTTTGGCAACTCGTCAAATTGTGTAGATGTCTCTTTTGTGTTAACAACGCTGTTAACAACTATTTCGCGCGTGATCTACCCTTGGTTAACGTTTCTCTGTTACCATCTACTTATTTTGACTTTAAAGTTAGTTATCGAACTGTGTTGGAAACTGCCTTCTGTACTTGGATTTTAGACACATCAAGCTTTCAGGTCACACCTGATTACTTTGCAGTCGTAACAATTTGGACTTGCATGTGAATATATAAACTGCTCATGAAGTTGCCTCTGGTTATTGGACTTTGCCTGTCTCCTTCACCTAGCACCCAGTTTCAACTCTGCCTGGCCTAGTGTTGCGAAAGCTCACAAAGCATGTTGCTTCCTTGAATATAGGATACAGCAGGTTACCACTTGCCCCCAAATTGTGGTGGTGACGTGCATCAACGATATCAAGTTCCGTACGGACGAACATACTTTTGGAGTATTCAGTTTGAAAGCCATAGAAAGACCTGTGTGGATACCAGCGTTTGAAAATGCCATTTTGTTCTCCCGCCTAATTTAACGGGTTGTCATTCAGGTGATTATTTAAGAACATTGCACTCATGCAGATACTAGCTGCTTCAGCTAATAACTTATGCTCAATATTATATGCCCGTGGATACTGGCAGGTTATGAACCGTCAAGATCTCCTGTCGAAACAGGATATTCTTTTTCTTCTCTAAGTTGAACTTATTTTGTATACGTGTAATTGGAAAACGTGCAATATTTGTACATCCGTCCGGACGACGTTCAGTGACCCCATTCTCAACTTTGTACCGCAGTATGATAAGCAGTCTGTGTTCCGACATGTCATATTAGCAGGGGCCCGCATGGCCTGTAGTCACCCCTTACCCATCATGCGATTATCACTCTTGAGACTCTACTGTCACTGCGTGATTCTCGGAAATTACAGTCTACAAAAGAGTGCCTGATAATATTTTTTGGATTTTTGGTTGTTGAAATTTTAGACATTATATGTAAGTAGAAAATGGACTTCAAAGAAAAAAAGCCAATTCATTTCGTAAAAGTAAAGTGGGTATAAAAAACGCGAAGTCCAATCTCAGTTGACAGTAACATAGAAACCAGTATTAAGGAGGCCATTGACAAGCATGGAAATATGTCAAGCGAGAAAATTGCACTCCAACTCACAAACCTTAGTGTCAAATTGTAATATCAACCTACATGTTTCACGGAAAAGGAGTTTAGAAAAATCAAAATTACGCAGTGGCAGAGTATGAATTAGTGAAATGAACTACATATATAGCACATCCAAAATTTTGGAAGATGATCTTAAGCTACGATCATGCATATTTGGGACTGTATTGAATTCAATGCATGCTCTAGAGATGCGTGAATACAGAATGAAATCAAAGAATGTGGAAGGGAATTATTTTTTGTAAGATTGAACTTTATCTGTCTAAAATTATCGTGAGATTGGCAAAGGTTGAGTCATGAATAAGTTTCACACAAGATGAAAGCTCAAAATTATGCTTGTCACAACAGTGTAATCAAAAAATTGTTTCTCACTTATTTTGAAGATCTACACACATTTGCAAGATACTCCTTTGCTAGAAATTTTTTTTTTTATATATGGCTAATTTATTGAATGTTATTAAAAGTTTGCCCAATATATAAGATTGATCAAGTCGTATCGTTCAATCACTTGGACATGTAAGTTACTAGAGTTACGAAAGTGACATGATTTGTGATGATTTTCATTTTCCGCAAGTCTAATTTAAAGATTAGATGTATAGGGTGCAACAAAATCTTGTGAGCAAATTTACAAAGCTGAATTGTGAATTCAAAATGTGTCAAAAAGTACAATGGATTAAGGATTTAGCGAACTTTGCATGAAGAAGAATGGAGTATTTATCAATATTTGTTTTCAATAGTGTTATAGGTGAGAATTGAGATTACTCACTATAGCACAAACAAGTAAATTTAGAATGATAAGCACTCCTAAGAAAACTTAGAATGAAAGACTATAAGAAAGAGATGAACTTTTCAAAGTTGAAAGATAAACTTAGGCTTTCTATTCCTTCCCTTCAAATTTACTTTCATATTAAAAATAACTCAAATGATAAGACTATGCCTAAGTATAACATGTTTCTTGGTTGAAAGTTTCATATGTCTAAAATCTCAACAACAAAACTTTTTTTTATCAATGATTAATCCTACTCATATTTTTTCTTGGATGTAAACCTCTATTCATAGACATCGCTTACTCTGCATCATTTATGCCTAGGACTATTGGGGTTATCTAATTCCATTTGCTCACCTATTGTTATTCTCTCCATGTATGCAGTAAGAGTTTTTTCGGCATTGGTTTTCCTTTCAATCTCTACGCATTTCACTCCTTAGTCAATTGATTATTCAAATCTTGTTTCATCAATCCATTACTGTATCTTTCTTTAAGATATATCCACAAGAGTTATCCACTCTAGCAATGGTTTGTGTTGCCTAATTTTCTATTCAACTTGATTTAAGTTACTTTCAAATATATGTGTTTGTTCCCCCTGTCATTCAACTATCTCAAATATCAGATAGATTTAGATAAATTCTAGATTTATGTGTAGCTTGAGAATTAATTTCCACTTTTTTCATCTCAAAATACATCACAATCAAATTAATCCAATCTTAACTTCTTTGTCAGATCAAAGAGAGAGTCATGTATGCTCGACCCGAACCTTCGCCCGTGGAGCTGCGACGTTTCCTGTGGTGGAGTCTTTGCCAATCTACGGGATTGGCCAGGTTTACCCCTGGCATCAAGTCTTATTTCCATAAAGTATAGTTTCTTCAAAGATACAACAAGATAACGTTATTGAAGATTCTAATTCTGAAAATTGATACTAATGAGTTTATCTTGATTTTTAACATTTTCAAAAAATGATATAGCTTGTAGTAAAATTTGAATGACTGATAAAAATATTATATATATATTTATAGAATTTTTTTATTAATTTTTCTATAATGATGTAAATTTTATTTTGCAAATTGTGATTCTGACGGTTTTTCAGTATCCATTGATTTCTAATGATACGAATTCTATATATATATATATATATATATATTTATTTATTTATTTATTTTTGACTAAGTCAGAAGTCAACCCTTGCTTTATGGTAAAATTTGAATTCAAATCTAAAAGTTCAAAGTTTTAACTCCATACATGATCTTCATTTGATCCAGAGTGTTCAGAATTTAATCAATGTAATTCTCTACACGCAATTATGTTTTAATTTTTAAATTTATGCGAAGAAAAGATAAACTTCTTGTAAATGATAAATTAAACTTACCTCTATTTCACTCTAAATGAATCTTATTATAATTCATCTAGCTACATCATTCATCATAAGAATAAAAAAAGTTCTTTTCAAGGATCACTATGCAAACAGACTTTGTTCACCTCATCATCATGAAAGTTTTAATTTTTTGGTTTTAAAAATTGACTATTCAAAAAACGTTCAATGTTTAAACTCAATAATATTTAAAGAGAATTTTCATTAAAAATTTATAAAAATTAATTCAACTTTATCTCAAGAAAAAAATGTACTGCTAACATCCCAATTACTTCATTGATTACTTCTTTTTAGTACTATAATATATCATTGAATAGTAATCAATATATATAATTGAACTTTTATCTATATTGAAATAGTCTATCATATTTTTGGATATTTGAATCATAAAATTTATATATCGTATAACATTAATAAAGAAATAAAATTTTCTATGAAACATTAAATTTAATATTAAACTAATTTTGATTAAAATTCAAATGAAAAATACTACACCGAGTACAGTAATTAGTCTATACCAGACTAATTGTGAACATGAATTTTTGTGATGCCAACCATAGATTAGTCTGGACCAAACTATTTAGGAATCTAGACTATTTGTGTGCTTCAAAAAAGAATCTGGATTAGACTAATTAAAAATATTCCAAAATAGTATGGATCAGAAAAATAAGTTCGAGAAACGCCAAGAGTGAAGTTTATTTTTAATCGTGCGCATCCATCAAGGTCCTCTCATTTTCAAATTGGGTACGATTTCCCCATCAAAGTAGTTGGGATGTTTCATTATGATTGCCTATAACTCCGGCGTTAATTGTTTGATATGCCATTCTCCTGTCACATCGAGTGCCAACCCACAACAAATCATGGCTTTTTGAGCATAGTTGAGGTCGTTAGCATCGCGTTGCATGTTTACATCCATGACAGAATCCGCTGCCAACTCCAAAAAGAATCTTGCAGCTTGCCCGACCATCCGCCATGGCTGTGAACTCCATCGGACCACTGCTGTTTTCGGATCATCTTCATCTTCTTGCTCTCCCATCGTTTTGTCCAAACATCCTTGATCTTGGAAATAACAAAAGAATCTGCTGGCTGAACTTTGTTAGTAGCACATGGAGGGAAGAACCGAAGAGTTGTCTTGGTTTTGGTTAGCGCAACTGACAGCGCATCCGATTCATTGTGATCTCCGCAATTGTCTAGGAATAATAACTTTTGTCTCCCGAAACGATCAGGTTGAAAAGAACGTGGTTCAGAGAGCCATTGCGGGATATCCTGCATATCATTCCATCCTTTCGGCCCAGTGCGATAGCTTGCACCTAACACATCATCTGATAAACCCTGAATCAAATAGGATCTATTCTTGTTCATGAAGATGATCTTCGGTGCCTCTATATGTGAGGATACTCCCCCTGTAATGCGGATCATCATGATTATACACTCTCCTCCGGAAACAACATTAGCGTATTTGACATCGTTGTCTCCCCGAATTCCTAGGTTCCGACCATTGTCAACATTCATCACGAAATGAGTCTCGTCCATATTTTCGATTAGGTTTTCATCCAACTGGTCAGATGAAAATCCTCTAAATAGTTCGCCCAAGTGGTACGCAATGGTCTTCTCAACATGAAGTTCTTTCTCTGGACTACATAGCAGCTTTCTTGTCTGAGCGCGCACAACCACGTTGTGCTTCGCCATGAATGTTTGAACCCACCTTGTCATAATTTTGTCGAGAATCAGTTTGCCGTCTACATCTCTGAAATCACATTGAATTTCCCCTCATCTGATTTGATAATGTCTCTAGCCAAAGTGCCAAGCAGGGCTGTTGAGAATTTTAGGCCCGTTTTTCGCAGTCGGTGAAACTTCTCATTGAGTTCTACATACACATGAGCCAACCAATCTTTTGTCTTACGGCCACGACCTGTCACAGCTTTGAAATTCAATCTCGTAGCCTTGAACTGTTGATTCCTCTGCAAAGACTCGAGATGCTCACTGGCCTCTTAGTACTGGTCTTTTAGTTTCCATCATGATGAAGCTTTTTGGATATTTGCCTTGTAGGATCCACGGAAAAGATGCGGAAAGTTTGCCGCTGCTTTGGCGAAAAGATCCTTCTTGCCATTGGAATCACATTCTTGCATCATCAACGAACTACCACGCGGCGACTCTCAATAGAGACCACTTGCTGTAGCTTTCTTTTTCACTGCGTGTCTGCCTGAGAGAATTGCTCCTGATGAACTTCTTCCACAACCTCTTTCTGATCAGGCACTTCTTCCTGATAAACTGCACATTCTTCTGGATTAACAATGTCGTCCCGAGAGGCTTGAGAGCGAGCGAAACTAGCTATAATAGTAGAGGACAAAAAACGCAACATTGTGAAAAGAGTGAAAAGCGCAAAAGTGAAGGGCAGGTGCAGCTTTGGACTATCGCCTATGAGTCTTAATTGCAAAATACGCGTGGTGCTACCTGTCACTCATGAGATTTATATTACAGATAGAAACATGTATTAGTCTGGACCAGACTATTTATGAATCTAAACTATTTGCCAATCCAGAGTAATTACTGTACTCGGTGTAGTTGCCTTATGATAAAAAATTTGATAATCACTTTTAATGCGAAGATTCAATGTACTTTACTATTATAATTGTCAAAATTTGAGATTTTTCATATTTTATTTTTCAACTTAGACGCTAGTAATATCCATTCAAAATCGTATTTGAATTTTGGAATAATTTTCAATTTTTTGTGAAATTTTTTGATTGCAAGAACAAAAGAATTCCAAAATTTCATGAAAACTGCATTAGGTCATGTTTATCAATCTTAGCAAACCAAAGCTTTTGTAATCATATCAGCTCCACTCTTGCAATCTTGCAATCTCCAAGATATCAAATTCATTTGATAAAATGAAAATTTTCAAGCAAGAAAACAAACATTTAAGAAAATTCCGAAAGGTTTAGTGAGCGATAATATCACATTATTGGATTTATGTACAAAACCAAAAGCGACGACACACAGTTCCACTTGACCTCTTATGTCAATGGCCATTGTGATTAAGCAGTACAGTGACAAAAAACCTCGGAGTACCAGAAAAGATGAAGGTGGATGGACCGTCGACTACTAGACGAACAATGACAAGCCCTTGGGTGGGCTTGTCATGATCTTGGGCAGCGAAATGAACTACGGTGCTGCAAGCAGCACAATCGATCGTAACGAGCAACAAAAGGAGAAGTCCTTGTCAGATCCATCACCGATTGCAGAGAAGCGAGCCGCTCAAGGGTATAGAATGAGCTCAGGAGTGCACATGTGTCACACCAGGTACGGTTCAGAGTCAGCACAACAGGAAAACTGGAACTGTAACAAAAGTCACGATCTTTGGAGGTGTACCTTTGCACTCTACCTGGTCGACAAAGGAATGTCAACCATGACTGGACTGGGCTTCCCCGAACACAAAATTCTTGCGTGGTGGAAATGATTCTTTTAAATCGGACACGCGCGCTTCTCCCTCCGACACGCTCCAGTATGATGAGCGCTAGGAATTGTAGGAAGATCTATGATGGTGGCTGGGCCCGTGGCTCGCACAAAAAGTCCAGGGACGTTCCGTATGGTAGCTCGCAACTCTGAGAGATGCGAAATCAATCGTTGGCTTTCGGGGCACTTGGCGTTGCTCCGTTCACCCGACGCGGGCGAGAGGCAAAAGCTTTCCCATCAAGGTTTCCACAAGAACCTCGTTACGCACCCATCACAATCCCGGGCGTGTATAGACATGTGACGATTTCAACCTCTGGGCTCTTGCAACCGGGTTGACTCTGTACAGCATTGCAGCTTCTTGGAACCCAGGATATTCTGATCCCTGCTGAGAACATTAGGCTGCGGCAGAGATTGAGATTCGCGAGTTTCTGCACTTGGGGATGCGTGGGGTCCCTCGGCAAGTGCATGGATGGCGGCCCCCTCAATGGACTTCAAACACAAACGATTCTCATTTGGACGTCAGTCCGAAGGAAGAGGAATAAGAAAGGAAGCGGATGACTCGCTCCCTGAAGTTCATCGTATACATGAAAATCCATTACGTTCAATCACTCGACGACTCCGTCACCATCAGAATGACGTGTGCTCACCGACTGCACATTCCTTGTACCGAGAGGGAAATGAGGCGAGGGGCAGAATTATTTCTTCATCCGAAGGTGCAGAATTGGTGCAGGAATATCCAACTCAAAAGAGCTGCAAGATTGCGTTCTCGGCATGATTGGCCGAAGAACCCGAGAGACCAGCCATGGATTCAGGCCATCGAGACGAGACGGGGCCAGCATCCATCTTCTTTGGGGAAACTCGTGGGGGGGAGCCGGAGGTGGCCGCATCGGGCCGCCAGACCAAGGGCTCCAGACCAAAGGTCCCCGGACAGGCTACTCGAATTTCTTCCTTGTATGCTTCATGAAGCCAGCGGTGATGGTGGTGGTAGTGCCGCTGTGGTGACAGACAACATTAGCGTTTCAGTCGCTGGCGCCGCCAGGTCAGCCGTACCGGCTGTACCAGGTCCGGAAGAAAGCCGAACGTCCCGCCGGGAATTCTCAGAGCACGGCGAAGTTAGCCGCCAGGCACAGCGTTGACTCGTGGTCCGGCAGTCTGGACACGTGTCGAACGTCCAAAAGACGGCCGTGCGGGACTGCCCCGAGATACGCCGGGCCAGAGGCCCGGAAGTGTGACATGCTCCAGAGACCACTGCTGCCTGGCCTGGCCACGACTATGTTTAGCCACCGCGACCAGGCCCGGCCGGTCGCCAACCAGTGCCTGGAACAGAAAACTCAGCGGAAGAAGGAGAAGCAGAAAGGAAAGGAGGAGGAGACGAAGAAGAAGGAGAGCGGCCAGGAGCGGAGACGAATTCCGAGCGATCTGTGCACGCCCGCGAGGGAACGACTTGCGCAGGTCAGTCGCGAGGCCATATTGATGTCGATGGACGGGTGGATGTTCAGTCTCCGCAGTCAAGGAAAGAAGCCGAGTACAGGATCTCGCGTGGCGAGCGTCGCGCTGTCCGGACTCCTCCCTGCCGATGCTGATTCTGCTGTGCCGAGATGTGAGAGAATCGTCTTTCTCCTCCACCTAGTCACCGCCGCCGCCGCTGCTGTTGCTGTTGCTGTTGAGATCGCCCCTAGATCGACTTGCGTGTAGAGCGAGTGAGAGTGACGCGGTGGGGAGATGGAGGTGGTGATCAGAGACGCGCAGAGCCGGACAACGTTCAGACTGCTGGTCGTTTGAGGCGCAATTGCCCGTTGGAGCTAAATCTGATTTGTATTTTCAATCTTTTTCTCCCGTGCTTGGTTAATTTCGTTTGCGCTGGAGCGAGACGTTAAGAGAGCGGGGAATGCACGCTGTGCTTTGCTGCTGCTGTCCACTTCCAGCTCTCTGTCGCTCTCTCTCGTGCCCCCGGGGCTCCGCGTGCATGGGAATTGTGTGCGAGCAGATCGCGGATGGTGTCTAATTACCGCCTTTGCATATACTGCAGAGGAAGAGGAAGGCAGAGGAGAGGCTTGGAACCTCCGATGCTCGCATGTTCTTGAACCTCCGTTTTCTTGCCTGAGAAATCGGGGCCGTTTCAAGATGGCGGAGTCTACGGACAAAACTGATAGGCTGGACGGACTAGACAGTTTGGCAGCCATCAGCAGCGAGGCTGTTGATTTGGTACGTAAAATTCTTGCTGTAAAATGATCCCAGACGACGGTGAAGTTGTTGGAGACTGAACTCACCCTCTTACACGTAGCAATTTTAACTGGATTCTGAAACTTCTTGGGTCTCGTCGAGTGACACCCATGAGACAATCTGAAAATCGTTACAAACTCAAAATTGGAATATTGTGCAGGAACACATTCCTATTGAGGAGGTTTTTGAACAGCTACGATGCACAAGAGAAGGACTTACTGAGGAGGAAGGGGAAAATCGAATCAAACTTTTTGGCATGAACAAGTTGGAGGAGAAGACAGTAAGTCCACGAAAGTCTCAATTCTGCCGCCTGCTTTTACTGAGAAGTTTCAGGAATTTCTTGTTGTATTTCATAAATTTCTGTGGCTCCAACACGTGGAAGCTTCGCCAAGTGACTTAGATACAAGCTCCCATAGATTGTTGGTGCATTCGGTAACATCGGTTTGAATGACATCTGAAGCCGTCATATTACCCGAAAGAAACCTGATAATATAGCGGATGTTTGCTTAAGCTTGCATCTTCTTCCGAAAACTCCCGAACGACTTTCATGAAATACAAGCAAAATGTATCCCTCCTCCCTTGATTGCTGCCGGTACTGTATTGTCCTCTATCCTCCATGCACGCTTGTTTTGATGAATTTCGTCCTAGGACTGTTTCATGTCCATCCGATACCTGGAAACTAAGGCGACTATTGTCAATTGGCTTGAATTTGTATCGTTCGAGTATCCGTTGACTGTCTAACTTATCGTTCTGAATCGTTACTTCCACATTTGGAAGCGCACGTCATTTTGTAGGACGGTTGTACCCATATTTCTCCCAATCAATAAGTTCTCGAGCAGAATAGACGTATCATTTTGCATGGCACTCCTGCTTACATGTGCGAATGTTTTCACGATGTGTCGTAATGCACTTTCTGCATGCTTAACATAACATGTTCTGAACGTCGTCACGTTCTGCACAGCGCTTAGAAACAAACTTGCCTGCAATTCGGCCTTACTTAAGCGTAGCAAAATTATATCCCGCCTTCGATCACGCTAGACGGGTTCTTGGCCTTTGGGGAAGACTGCCTGACTCGTTTTTAATCTTTCATTGGCTCTGTAGTCAAGTAGGCGACTGGAATGATATTGTAATTAGTACACCGTGTGCTACTTATACAGCCTCGTAACATTAATGTCTTCTGTTTAATTATTGCAGGAAAACAAGATTCTCAAATTCCTGGGGTTTATGTGGAATCCTCTTTCATGGGTGATGGAAGCAGCTGCAATTATGGCCATAGCTTTGGCTAATGGAGGCGTAAGTCGGTCCATTTCTGTGAATACTGGGTAAATATGTGAAGAAAAATAAGAAGGTCGATTGTTCTGAATCCACCCTCACATTTCTTTCCTCGCATAGATCCTAAGACGAGTGATTCACGTTTCCAGGGACTACCCCCCGACTGGCAAGACTTTGTAGGTATAGTGATCTTACTGGTTATAAATTCGACAATCAGCTTTATTGAGGAGAACAATGCCGGAAATGCGGCGGCTGCTTTGATGGCTAGGCTCGCTCCTAAGACGAAGGTAATCTATGTATTTGTTCGAAGCTGTTGCAATGCCACGTCATGGCTGTCTAATCTCGACTTTCAGTCTCCTGTGAAATGTACTAGCAAAGACTAAGGATCACAATTTTATGTGCCTCGAATAGGTTTTACGAGATGGACGTTGGGGAGAGCAGGACGCTCAAGTTTTGGTTCCTGGTGACATCATCAGCATCAAGCTGGGAGATATCGTCCCAGCAGACGCACGTCTTCTTGAAGGAGATCCTTTAAAAATTGATCAGGTACATAAACCTTAATACTACACAGTTCTATCCGCATTTCATATTCATACTGTAATCAGTGTAATTCACTTGTAGTTCAGATATCCGTCTAACAATTTCATTGTTTTGTAGTCTGCTTTGACTGGAGAGTCTCTCCCAGTGACGAGGAAACCTGGAGATGAGGTATTTTCAGGATCGACTTGCAAGCAAGGAGAAATTGAAGCTGTGGTTATAGCCACTGGAGTGCACACTTTTTTTGGCAAGGCAGCTCATCTTGTGGACAGTACAAACCAAGTTGGTCATTTTCAAAAGGTCAGGAATTTATGTACCATACACCGCAACGTTCACTCTACTTCTCTAACTGCCGAGCCAAGTCTTCAGGACAAAATGTACTGAAGCTGTCAATCTTCTAATGTTCTTAATTCGTATCTTCTGGTGCAGGTTCTCACAGCCATTGGAAATTTTTGTATTGTTTCGATCGCAATTGGCATGTTGGTTGAGATCGTTGTCATGTACGCCATTCAGAAAAGACCATATCGACAGGGAATTAACAACCTGCTGGTCCTGCTCATTGGTGGTATCCCTATTGCTATGCCAACAGTGCTGTCAGTGACCATGGCCATTGGATCGCATAGACTGTCTCAGCAGGTGCGCAGCTTAGATATTAAAGATTACAGAGAATGGATGCCCAATCTTCCTCACAAGTTTAAAATTGGTCTGTATGTCTACCTATGAATTAGAGTTTGTTTAAGATATCAAAGATGTTTGTTTAGATTAGGTGTTTGTAAATTTTTTTGAGTTTTTGGAATTTTTATAAGGTTCATACTGTTAAACCGCTGTATTGGCTTCCGATCTGAAGGGTGCTATCACAAAGCGTATGACTGCTATCGAGGAGATGGCGGGGATGGACGTTCTTTGCAGTGATAAGACCGGAACCTTAACTCTGAACAAGTTAACTGTCGACAAAAACTTGATTGAGGTCTGTTTTAATTCGAGCTTGTCAATGAGGTTCTTGTTTATACCTTCGAACTGAACGGAGGTGTGCTCACTTACAAGTAACGACTGATTACAATGACTAGTTACGCAAGTGAGGAACAGGACTAGTACATCAGCAATATTTAAGTATATATGTTACATGCCACAAGAAATACGATAGCTGTGAGGTATATCCTTGGTCTCATAGTTCTGGGTCTGCGGCTGGGCCTTGAGTGCGAGTTGATTATATTCGTCGTCTATAACTGCAGACTTTCGGAAGGGGTATCGACAAGGATATGGTAGTCTTATTGGCTGCGAGGGCATCCAGAATTGAAAATCAAGATGCCATTGATGCTGCTATCGTGGGAATATTAGCAGACCCTAAGGAGGTAAGTGATAAGCTTTGTAACATGGGTCTAACGACCTCTTCTTGTATATTATTGGTTATTAAGAACACGTGATTTATATAGAATAACACTTGCATGTCGGTATTCATCTTCTTGGTGCAGGCTCGTGCAGATATTACAGAAGTTCACTTCCTCCCTTTCAATCCTGTGGATAAACGAACAGCTCTTACGTACATTGACGCTGATGGAAACTGGCATCGTGCTAGCAAAGGGGCACCAGAACAGGTAACAGTTGCGGAGCTGATGGGTTCGTTAATGTTTCAGCAACTTCAGGTAGAGGTTTACCGTACGGGGTCACTAGTTTTTAAGGGGATTCTGGTATGTTGTGCAGATTTTGGAACTTGCCCATGATAAGAATATAATCGCCGCGAGAGTGCATTCCGTCATAGATAAATTTGCAGAGCGAGGCCTTCGGTCGCTTGCCGTAGCGAGACAGGTACTCCTCTTAATTAAAACTATCAGAATAAAAGTATTATTCTAGCCTTTGAAGTCCTAATACATTTGACGATATGTAATGAGAACACACGGATATTGTGTTGTGAATCCGCAGGAACTGCCTGAGAAAACCAAGGAGAGTGTTGGAGGTCCATGGGTTTTTTGTGGCATAATGCCTCTTTTCGACCCTCCTCGTCATGACAGCGCTGAAACCATTCGTCGTGCTCTGAACCTCGGTGTCAATGTCAAAATGATTACCGGTAAGTTGACGTATCTATGTGTATTCATTATGCTAATGAGTTTATTTCGAGCTTGTAGATCATCTTCGTGACGTTCAGCAGTCAACATATTCGAGGCTTGGGTTTCGCGACCAGTTTTCATTGTTTGCAGCTACTGAACTATCTGTATTTGATGATCTCAATGTGGTTTCAGGTGATCAGTTGGCCATTGCTAAAGAGACAGGGCGACGGTTGGGTATGGGAACCAACATGTATCCATCTTCTTCGTTACTCGGAAAGAACAAGGATGAGTCTATCGCAGAGCTTCCTGTTGATGAGCTAATCGAGAAGGCAGATGGTTTTGCTGGTGTTTTTCCAGGTACCCCGCTTGTTATGCTCTAGATTCTTCATCTCAACGACTGCATCAAATTTGCTTCCGTTCACGATTGAACCTGTTAATATCCTCTTTGCCTATAATGATGGAGTGATATGATCGCAGAGCATAAGTACGAAATTGTAAAACGGCTGCAAGCGAAGAAACACATATGCGGAATGACAGGAGATGGAGTTAATGACGCCCCCGCACTTAAGAAAGCCGACATTGGGATTGCAGTGGCTGACGCCACTGATGCTGCGCGAAGTGCATCCGACATTGTGCTCACAGAACCAGGTCTTAGTGTCATCGTCAGTGCGGTGCTGACCAGCCGAGCAATTTTTCAGAGGATGAAGAATTACACTGTAAGCTATCTACTGAAAATAATGTGAATGAATATATGTCCATGAAGAAAATTGTGGGAAGTCCTCACCCTCCTGATAAACTTATTAGCTTGTCTGACTTTCCTCTGTCTTCTTGTCATGATCCGCAGATTTATGCCGTGTCCATCACTATTCGGATTGTGGTAAGTTTTGAAGGTGCAGATGCAGGTTATCGCATATGTATATACTGCTGCAGTGTACCAGCATGTTTTGGGATGTGATGTGTCTGACGGAAGTATACATCTGTAGTTCTTGAGTTAGTTTAAATTTGGTGCGGTTTGTATTTTTTCTTTCATACTTTATAGTCATACCTTCTTTTACCGAGTTTTTTCGTAGAGAGCAACTGTCATTGAGATTAATGAACTGTTGATACAAGCTAGCGATTATCGGCAACCTTGTTTTAATGTCTTGTTGCTTTTAACTCCGGCGTCTGCAGCTGGGATTTTTGCTAATCGCTTTGATATGGAAGTTTGACTTCTCCCCATTCATGGTTCTCGTTATCGCTATTCTCAACGATGGTGGGTAATTTCGTTTCTTCATTTATTTGCATTTACTTGTAAACTATCCATTTTGAGTCAAGGACTCTTCTTCTTTTGGTGAATCTTATGGTTTATTCTATTGCTTGTTCAACAGGTACGATAATGACCATCTCAAAAGATCGAGTGAAGCCATCACCTCTGCCAGACAGCTGGAAATTGAGAGAAATCTTTGCGACAGGGATTGTAATGGGCACATATCTTGCTGTGATGACTGTACTATTCTTCTGGGCTATCCATACAACTAACTTTTTCCCGGTGAGTGGTGAAGGGTGCAATTCTACAAACGTCTTTCGGGTCAAGATTGCTCCTATTACGAACAGACTGTGCAGCGTACATGTTTGGTTGTCTAGAGGGATTGTTTACCTACACTGACGTTCGTATCTAAATTGTTCCTCCTCCACAATGCAGCTCACGATTTCCTTTGTGACTGCAGGATACATTCCACGTAGCGAACATCAGAGACAGCAATAGCAGAATGACGGCAGCTGTGTATTTACAAGTCAGCATTGTCAGTCAAGCTCTGATATTCGTTACACGTTCTCGAAGCTGGTCATTTCTCGAGCGACCGGGGTCGCTGCTCTTGTTTGCATTCGCTTTAGCCCAATTGGTATCTATCTTTATATCTTGAAGTTTTTTGCAATGAGCATCACTTACTCTTTTGGAAATGGCACTGTTTTGTCGGATGTGTAAAGGACCTAGTTCCCAGATCTGTACAGAAACATCAGGATGAAGAAACTTTCGTAGAATTTAATTGACTTGACTTGCTCAACAAATCCATCATTCAACAGGTTGCAACATTTATCGCCGTGTATGCCAACTGGGGCTTTGCCAACATAAGAGGCATCGGATGGGGATGGGCCGGTGTTATTTGGCTGTATAGCATCGTGTTCTACATTCCGTTGGATTTTATAAAGTTCGCAATTCGTTACATCAACAGCGGGAGAGCTTGGGATCTGGTGTTTGAACAGAAGGTAAGATTCCGAGTTGAATTTCTCCATTGCCGCTACTTGTTCCGTAGTGGACTTGAATCCACAAATTTCATATTTTTTCTTGGGGGTTAATTTTGACATAGCACCAAACTTTCCAAGAATGTAGCTTTGATTAGACCTTAACATTAAGTTTGGCATGTCTTTACAGACGGCATTTACTAGGCATAAAGATTTCGGGAAGGAGAAGCGGGAAGCGCAATGGGCACATGCCCAACGCACTCTGCATGGCTTACACCCTCCGACTTCTGATATTGGATCGCCAAAAATTGATGGTGGCGGCGGTGGTGCTGATAGAGGCGGAGATATGGCAGAGCAGGCAAAACGTCGTGCTGAAATTGCCAGGTAGTTTTTGTTCTCATTTTTTGCTATTTTGGAGCGTTGCTATCTCACTGGATCCTCGAAGCACATTGGCTCTGGAGTTAGCAATCGATGGTAAATGATTTGAGGACCGATGTTAATGTTTATGTCTAAACGGTTTTACAGACTGCGGGAGTTGAACACTCTTAAGGGGCATGTTGAATCCGTGGTAAGACTGAAGGGTCTGGACGTCAATACTATAAAGTCTTCTTACACGGTATGAGATCGTGAACTCCTATTTGACAAATATACCATGTTAAGAGGTGGGGTTATATGAGATGCTGGAGTGCGACGATTCACATAAGCCTTGCAATAAAGCCGGGCTTCTTACAGCCGCCTGTGTGGAAGGTGTCGCCCATTCAATGTACATGAAGATTGTCCACTCAGGTGACGTGAATAGGTGAGGAAGAGAATTTTCTGAAAGACACCAATTTCGGGAGTATGAACATTTGGGCGACTTTTAAGATAAAAGATCCAGAAACTTACGTGAGAGGTAGACAATGATCGACTGACGTATACGCCAGTCTGAGTTGAAAGGCACTCCGAGTGTAGAGTTATTGCTGAAATTCCGCAGCAAGAAGTTGTACTTGAATTTGAGAGTATTATCCCGGACTGGCTTCTCATAGATATTTTTGCACCCCACCCCGTCATAACAGTCTTGACATCGTCTCAACGTCATGAAGAGAGAGCGCTGAAGGAATAATGTACATCAGTTGGATGGTATGTAAAAATTTCGTGTTAGTAGATATATCCATGAAAACAATTGTCTCATTGAAATGACAAAGTCTTTATAACTGTACGCTTTTCTTTTTGCCTGTGTTCTCCACTCCTCGTTTCGGCCTCTTTCTGCGTCTTAGAGGGACTCGAGGAATCATGGAAATGGGTTTGAAATCCGTGAAAGAAAGATTGTCTCTAACGAGTGTTTTAACAGCCACAGTGCTGAAACAGAATACGTCGCTTACCAATTTTACAGTCACAGTAATTGAAAAAGAACTTCTTCTGTACAAGCTGGAAATGATAGGTAGTGTCTTTGTTTGACATAGAAAGATTCAACGACGATTGCCTCAGTCGTTCGTCTGACAACACTGAAACCAAACGAACCAATCAGAAATATTAATGATTGTCAAACAGATCTATTGATAAAGACGTTCTCCCAGGGGCTACTCAGCAAATATTCTACATTTAAACTATTTTCTGTCGATTTAATCTAGTCAATATGACGCTAAATATCGTAGTGAGTCCTGATCCTTAGATCGGTATGTTGGACTTGGCCATTTTTTAAAATGTAAGCCTCTGTCCTATCTTCTAGAAAAATTTTCAAGTCTCAAAATTGAAACGTTGATCGAAAAACTTCCCTTTCATGAAAATCCGAATGCCCTTTGGAGCCGAACTTAACCAAAAGATAGGCAAGGTAATTAGCGTAGGGAGTAATAAAAAAAGTTATCAAATTGATGTTCTATGTGTGGAATAGACGAGCTAATGGAACATCAATCAATATTTTACAATAGAAAGACTTCGTTCATGGTTCATCTGCCAAAACTATACTTGAACTTTTAACACCATCGGAAATGAAAATATGGTACAGTGGTTTGTACACCGTCACAGTGTTATGCAAACTGGCCTCGTTCATTTAGAAAACTCACAGTGAACATGTTTATAACCAAGTATTGGTTATATATCCACTAGCGTAACACAATAGAAGGATAATCAATATGAATGTAATTGTGAAACACATAGCTCATTTTGTATTAACTGCTGTCGGATGAAGAAACTTACTGTATGTTCCGACCAGTTTTAATTGATGTTTGAATTTTTTCATAGATTTAGATTTTGCTTTGTCTCGCAATGTAACTTGATCACTGAACCTGACAACTGACAAAGGAAACATGCATAGCTTCTTGGTAAAACTCCTTAATATGTCACATTTTCATATCACTTGTAGGTGCTCTTCTCTCCGTCGTCGTGTGAAGGAAATGTATTTACCCTCCATTCATTTAAAGGAGCAAGATCTGTTGCCCATATGAGGTCGAGGTAAATATCTGAACTTGTTACATCCGATTCCGTGTACGCTTGAAACGCTCATATACCCGAAATTGGAATCAATAGTTTAGATTCAACACTCGGTACTGTGGAATTTAATAGATGATCTATACTCTTGAGAGACGTGAAGTAGCACTTGCTCAGCCAGGGCGAGGGGTCTATGGTCTTCAGGTCATAGCAGGTTCATATCAACGGGTACAGTTTGTATAAATGTTACCATAGATCAGAAAAAGTGTCAGGAACTTAAAAGATTGTCACTATCTCTTATATCTATACATAAGAATAGACTAAGCTCAAACACATCTCAGGCATCCTTTTAGCAAGAGTCTGGTTCACCGACATATCTCCCTTCCGTTCAGAAAATGAGCAAGAGCCCTCGAAGATTATCAAAGAAGAAAAATTTTAATCAGATTTGGAACGTTGTTGTCAGGTCTCCATGTACCGTAATGTTGGACTTTACGTGTGACATAATTAATACTCTGCTGTAGATCATACTGAAACTGAAATGGATGTAACCAGATAGAGAGGACCCGTCAAGATATTAAATTCTGCAAGCCTCCTTATTACCAGTTTTCTAGACAGAGTGTGACTAGCCCAGTAATACGTGTAGGGCATGAATCTCATATTTTTTCTACTGTAAATTTCACTCGGAATGATCTGATCCATCTGAGGTCCAAACTTTTGACCTCTCAAATAACCAGTTCTACAAACTCCTCGTATGCTCATAAATTATGGGCTTTGCAAGTTCTTCTTGGCAATGAAAATCTTCTTACAGAAGATACCCTCAATTCATGACTTACTGATCATGAGTGTTACGGACTTAACCAAGAATCTCAAGTGCGTTTTTTCTTTTGTAGCTTGAAGTACAGCACTTCAAGAATCGTCTCTTGTATATGCGAGTTGCTTTGGTTTGACCATCAGCAGGTCTTGATGTTGCTGGAGTCGAATCAAATATCGTCCTCTTCAGTGCATAAATTTGTTCTATACCAGTATACCGAGGAAGATAGTTTGCCCATTCCTGCCATTTTCAGATGAGTCACTGCGGTACTTGGAGAAGGGGTTAAGGCTTTAGAGTCTGACTTACTTGAGATGACGTTTTTTACAACTTTTCACTGACCATTATGGAGTTTATCAGAATGATAACGAGAATGCTTTTGCTCTATAAATCCAACCTTCGTTGATATTATAGATCAGTTAAGGCTTCTCACTGCAAGGTTACTTACTCTTTCTTACTCTTTCGCGGCCCACGGTCGTTACTAAAAAAAACAATCAACATAAGCTCATTGCAAGAGCAGAGTCAGTGAAGATTCTTCCTAGCATGGCTGAGAAATCTCAGTTTCCGTAACTCTTTTCCACCTCCCAACTAGATAATCATATGGCTGCGCGGACACCAATAGTAATGGTAAGCAGAAACGGACGTTCAGTACTGGAACCAATTTGCATGTTGGAGAGGAGTGAGTCACGCTGGAGCTCATTCAGAAAGATCCATACTTCAGACTAGGGCCGCTTCCTCCAGCACAGCCAGATGCAGACTCTGAGTCTATATGCGTTCTCGTGAATGTCGTGCTCCAGAAAAGGAATACAATACAGGTCTAAAGACTCGCAGATATTTTAATGGGCCAGCAGTCAAGGCCTGGTCTACCTTCTCTAGGGCTGAAGGGACCTTGCATTGCATCACGTCAATTGAGTCTGAGATCCACTTCGATTCATGCTCCGGAGCGATTGGTGCCGAAACTGTTGAGTCGCTAACTTGGTGCTAGACCAGTCGATGAGTCATCGAAGCAGAAACTTAAGACCACAAGAACGACCCCATACGGTACCGACGTACGGGTGCCTGACCTGACACTGAAAGGGAACCCCCCGGGCCCCAAGCAGAAACAGTTTGCGCCTTATTATTTTTGCAGATTCACCTGATCCACTAGTGCCACTACCACTGAGTCAGTCGGGCAGTCCACCCTCAAGCACAGTTTCTCATCTAGTCTGCATTTTAGCTCGTTTTCCAGTCTGTACACCACAGCACGCCGTACTGCATAGTTGTGTAGTATTCTTGTATAGGTAACCAAGTCGCTCGTCTGAGCCCAGTATTTGTAAGCCAGCGACACCATCACCACGGTACGGTGTCTAACTCGTAACCCGGCAACTTGGTATGACGAAGGGACCGACTCCCCTCGCGACGAATCTAACGAGAGGAAAGAAACAGAGAGAAGAATGTCAGAGAGGTACCGGAGATGATCGCGTCAACTATTTGTGCAAACGGACGGACGTCTATGAGGATCGAACTCGTCCGCTTGCGGAAAATTTCAAACCGGGTGCGTCAGCTGAGTCAGCTCTCAGCAAGTTTGTCGTTTAGGATTCCGACGTGGCAGGCTGCAATCATCCGTTGGACTCGAAGACCAACGGCGTCCATGACCGGAGCGGGTAGCAAACGAAGGACCATACGTCCAGGGCGGGTCGGAGATCCTGCCCCAGCAGCACACAATCTAAAATTAACGCCCGAGATGCGTCCCAACTTGAACTTGTAGGGTTTGAGTCTTGGCGCCTTGCAGGAACTGTACACTGTAGCGGACATCGGAGGATCGGAGGATCGGAGGCTCGGAGGCTCGGAGGCATCGCCCTTCGTTGAGCCTTTTGCTGGAGGTGGAGGGAGGAATCTGCGGGCTTGGGCAAGTTGGAGAAGGTCCGAGCAGATCCATCCATGGCACGGAGGGGTCGGTGCGCGCTCGATGGCGAGGGCGAGAGCTAGGGTTAAATCGTCGAGCTCTTGCTACCAGTTGCAGTGATCGGGGTAACTTTCTCATGGACAAAGCAGTAGATCTACTTCGGATGGAGTCGTATTAACTTTTTGTTACAAGTGGTGTCAGGAAGTCAAGTGCTCGTCACATCTTCTCTCACAAGCAACAGATTCCAAATTACTAACATGTCATGGACTCATGGCTGCTGAGCTTGACATATTCAAAGCCACCTTCCCCATTGGCTGCGGTTGAGGTTGCCCACGTGGGTGGAAAGCAGGCAAGACATGTGACCACTGACGTTCGAGAGTGAATGAGTGATAACATATAGAGCGAACAAGAAGATCTCCCATAATTGTCGTCAGTCTGTCTGACAGTCAGACTGCAAACGAAATCTTCTTGGCAGGTCCTCCGGCCCGTCTGGTCCCGTTCTGCAAGTTGTAATACTCCGATTTCACCCTCGTTCCCTCTCTTTCCTCCTAGAACGACAACCTTTTCCTTTTATGGAATTTGCTTTTTCTCGTCTTGCTTTGCTTTGTGATTACCTATATTGCCTCCCTCTTCATCCTCCATGGGATTGATTCCTGACAATTTTTAATTCCAGATTTTACTCATCATAACTCATAAACTGTTGCGCCAAATGTTTTATTCTAATTAGTCCCGCTGTCTAAAAGATTGCTAATAATGATAGTTGTCCGAGTATTATTTCTTGGAGATAGCATGAAAAAGTTATCACCTAATCTCCAGTTTTTCACACTCAACAGACTCCTTTTGAGCCATCACCCTATCTTTCCTGGTCATTTTCATTTTCTTGTTTTAGCGATTGTCTCATTTTTTTGGTTCTCTTGTCCTTTATTCCTGTCAAAAATATTGCCCTAGAGTTTATATTTGAAAAATGAAAAGAGAACATTATTGAGATAAACTAATGGAATCGTCACGATAATCATGGCTTTTGGGTCGAGGTTTACGTTTTTGTATCCCAATTGGAGAACAATTTTTTCTCATGTCTTCGCTGATATTTAGAATATGAAAATAAAGTTATCTGCCGATAGTGTTGTGACCTACTCATAAGCAGACCCTGGTTCTAGGCTTGAGCGCTTCGCTTTCCTTTCACTTTCTCAGTGTCGCTGGATATATTTGGTCTTATTGGCTTCATACAACTTTGTGTTTTGGACTTCTTGTTTGTAAGGTACTCTGTTCTGCAGCATGAAACAGAAGCTTCCATGCGTGTCGTTACTACTTCCTTATCCAAGTTACATATCTACCTCGCATCTAATTGGTGCACATTCATCCAATGATAGATGCTGTGTATCTCTTATTTTCCATCTCACTACATTATCCACCATCTCATTTTTATTATTCGAATATTAATGTTTGATACTTTGTGATTAAGAATGAGACTTATGTGTCACACTTGGTGCATGCAGCCGTCCAACTAGCCTTCCTCTCACATAGAATGGCTTTAACATTTTCAAAATTTAACGAATGTTTGGGCTAGAATCGACATATATTGGTGTATAAAAGGATTATATCCATGAGCACGAGTTTTTCATGTTGAATGTGAAAGTAATTAAGAGGTACAGTGGGCCTACTCAACAGAGAAGCACCAAATATATCTGTCAGGTTGAACGATACATGTGGGCATAATACTGATTGACTGATTAAATATTAATCCTACGTCACCTTGATTATTCACACTCTGCCGATCCCCGTAGTAATATATTGCTAGGGGCAGGTCCTGCTTCATCCACATTTTTTGTAGATAGAAATGTTGGGGAAGTAATTCATGAAAAACCACAATTGGGAGAGGTCTCAAGGTATACTAAAGCTCCAAGAATGCACCCGAGCGAGTATTCGACACTCCCCTAAAATGTATACTCTTGAGTCAAAGAAAAATATGAAAGAAGTTAAAAGATAACATGGACATTATCTATATAAGCATACTGTTTCATGTATTGTCAGGTAGTGGCCGATCCAAGAAAACCCCGAGTCAACTCGATTTATTGAACAACAATGACATGCAAAGGAGATACTGCACCATAGCATATCATTCTAGCTCTAAGTTTTATTTTCATTAGTTTGTTTAATAATTCGAAAATACTAAATTTTCGAAATATGATAATTAAAACATCAATTCAAATATCAAATTTTCAACATATACTATAGAAAGTTACTTATAGCTATCCATAATACAGCAATTATATCACATGATAAATTTTCATGTGTAAATAGTAGAATCTTTGATTTATGTCAAATGATGTTCCACTATGATATCAATGAGTAGTACCATGTTCACTTTTGTGATTATAGAAATAAACAGTTTAATTGTCATGCTTTCTCCTCTTTAACTCGATGACACACTCTCAAATTCAAGATTAAACATATATATAGAATGGGTATTTCTTGCCATATCAAGCTGATGTATTACTCTCATGCTAGTCTCAAATCATGTATTTATCATTTCATCAAATTTCAAAACCTTCTCAAATTATAAGGCATGTTAACAATCCTAATTTCATTTAGTTTAATTCACGATATGTTTCTTAATCTAAGAAAACCATTACCGTGGTCAAATTAGAATGGCATCGGATTAGATTTCAAATTCAAAATAATCAAGATTTGCTCAATTTCTTCAAATCAGAATTTGAAAATGCTTTATATCAAATTGATTATATAGTTATATAAGAAATATTTCCTTTTCTAAAATGAAGATCCAAATAGAAGTATTGGGTATAAGGTTCTTGAAATAAAATTTATTCAAACAATGTGAAATCATGAGGTTTAAATTGTTAGTATAAACGAGACATCTAAGTAATTGAGAAAGATTTAATTTCCTTTCAAGAAAATACCATACGAATCATTGTACACAATTTATATTTATAATATATCTATCTATGTATAGAATAAATAAAAAATACAATAAAAAATTAAAGTTCAAACAGGAATATAAAATTATTTAAATAAATAGAATTTTTTTATTTTTTTAACAATTGAATAAAATCTTTTTTTTCAAAATTCATTGTAGTATTCAACTCAACAATAAAAATCCTAAACTGAATTGAATCAAATAGTTCAACTTCTATTATGAATTTAAAAACACAAATAAATTTTTTAAAAATCATTCCTAAGGAAATTCTACATTAAAGTAAAAAATATTCATCTTCATAAATGTTAATGTAAATCTTTGAACATTAATGAACTATATGAATGTTTAGAGTTGAAAACAAAATATTTTGCTCACAATCATCATCCATACCTTTATGAATATATCACACTATTTTCATAGCCATATACAATATTAAAATACCATATTATAGAAACGTATCATAAAATAAAATAAGAATGGAAAAATGAATTGAAATGTGAATGTATTTGAAATTTGTTTCACCTAAAATTAATTTAAAATATTAATCTAAATATTCAAAACTTAAAAAATAACATCAGTAAAACATATCATACATAGGATATGAAATAATATCATTAATCTATAATATCAATAAATATATCAATATCCATATATATATATATATATATATATATATATATATTGATAATTTGTAATACCTCAATAAATCTAGTTTCACTCTATGAAAATCAATAAAGCTATATAAAAAATAATTAAAAATATGATATTATTAAGAAAAGATATCAATCAAAATATTCATCTTTGAACTTGTAAAAAATAAATCTCATATATTTTATTCATTAAACTTTAATCCAATATGATATACATGGTACCATATCTTATCTGATTAAATATAAGTTTCAGAAAAATTATGAAAAGAAAATTTAAGAAGATTCAAAAAATTAAAAAATTAGAAATTATGAAAAAAAAATTGACAAGATATAATATCAGCCTTTAAAACTAAAATGAAAATGAAAATGATTAAAAATGAACAAACATCCAAAAAATTTATACGTTTTGAAAAAAACCTGACTACTAAATAATATAAACAAGTACTATTTTTGTTCAGTTGAAAACAAATGTTAATAATTGTCTTAAGAATTTATTACATGAGCAATATATCATGAAATTATATTTTTAATTAAAATTCAAAATTCAAAATTTTAATCATTTATAATAAATTATGATATTAAATAAAAAATTTAAAGATTATTCTAAAAATTTTCGCTTTTTTTTTAAAAAAGATAAATCTTGCAAATTTTTTCTATTGACAAGAAGCATCAGAATTTATAAATTTTATATTTGTTAAAGAAATATTAATTTGTTTACTTCAATCTGAATTGGTGTTTTCCTCGTTTTAATTAAAAAGTTAATCAATTATTTGTTTTAAAGTTGAAACTCCTTGTATTTTTTCAAAGTAACATTATCGCAAATGATTTATCATGAAATAAATGTAAGATATACAAAAATAATTTTGTGATTTTTAAAAAAAAATCCAATATGAAAATGCAACTTTGATAAATATTTCAAAAATTATTAAAAATTATTTGAAAATTTTGAAATTAATTTTGAAACAATTTTACTATGCAATATACATATGAAAACAATATTTCTTTTCAAATGTTGAAGTTAACTCTAGTTAATAAGTTAACTTAGGTTAACCGCATATGTAACTATTTATAGTTTGGAGTGGTTGACTACCTTGGGTATATATACCCTAAGAGTGATAAGAAGACATCACTTCAAGCATTCAACACAAAAGCCCTGAAAGAACGGTTCTCGACACCCGCCTCTCTCTCTTATTCAGCCGTGCAGCAACCCTCCAATCACTCCATCGATCGATCACTCCAAGATCGCTCCGGATCACGACGTCTCGCTCACTGAAATCATGAAATCACTCACTCACAACACTCCACAGCAAACACTCAGATTTTTCAGATTCATGACTATGTCACATTACCTCATCAAACAGCAATAGCTTGTGGCCTTGGAGGGGATCAGAAAGATTTCGGTGGATATGGAATTGCTGGCGAACCAAGTGCATCAGAGACTGAAGCATGCGAAGGACGAAGATGATGATGATGACAATGATGAAAGTAAGCACAGAAATAACATCAAAGAATGGAAAGAAGCGGGATAGAGATCACAAGCAGGAGATGCATGGTGAGAAAGATGGCAAGGAGAAGAAGAAAAATCGAAGCGACAAACACCGCAAGCGATCAGGGCGAGATGATTCAAGCCGACAGAGAATGATCCAATATGATATACATGAAACAAGCTGGACGCGACAAATGAGCTACTGCTACTCTAGCTGAATTCGGAGAGAGTGGAGGGATGACAGACGATCGAAGATGTCGAGTTGAGACCCACCACGCGACGAACAACCTGCTGCTACTCTTAGAGGGGAGGGATGAGGAGTGGAGATGGTTCCGGCCTACGACACCCAGTACCCAAGGATTTTATAGTGAATCGCGTCCAACTGTCAGGAATTGCGTTTGAAACCGTGACCATTACAAATAGGCGCCTGTGTGACCATTAAATAGGTGTCGGCGGGCGCTCGCTGGCACCTATTTAATGGTCACACAGGCGCCTCATTTCAGCAGAATTATGAACTTTAAGGAGTCTCGCACAAATTTTCAAATTTACACGAGTCTCCGTAAAGTTCATACGTTTTTATTGAGGTTTGTAAATGTCAAGCTCATGTATACCTTGATGTGCAGTCGATGAGCAACTATAAGTACAAGATTGTGCAAACATTG